AGTGTTTATAATTTAATATATTCTATTAATTTTTAAGGACTTCAATTGTCCTACAAACCTTCCCAAAAATTTAAAATTAATTCAAAACTCCAATAAATTTAATTTATAATTATGGAGAATTTTAACTTCTTTCATATATTCCACTAATAATGCATATAAATATTATAAGTAATTTCAATGTTAAACCAAGAAGATGAATTCAATTAGCCAATTAAGAGCACTTGAGAGGCTGAAGCAGGAGGATCACTGCAAGTTCAACACCAGCCTGGGCTACAGAGTGAGCTCAAGGCTAGCCTGAACTGCACAGCGAGACTCATCTCAGAAAGATAAAAAAAAATAATACTAATGATAATGATAATAATAATAATAATAATAATAATGCCATCAGAGGTCTTGAGGATATTCTCTTAGATGTTTGAATTTGCTTACTGCCCAAGGAATCTACTCAGGACAATGACGCTCATTACTGTCATAGGACTTCACTGACTTAGTCACTACATCAGTGCACTAAGTGACCTTCCTGATCACATGGTCCACATAGGTTACATGTGTAGGTTTGAACTTCACCAAATTCTTTTTTTTTAAGGAGAAAAAAAAAGAAAAAGAAAAAGGTACAAGTTACACAGAATTTAAAAAAAAATAACCAGTAGGAAATACTAGTTAATAGATTACATATTGTCATCTTAGAAATAGTTGTTCAAGTTACAAAATTAAAGCATACAAAGTGGACATTCCAACAGTGAGACTGCAAACAGTTCTGTTCAATGATCCAAGCAAAATTCAGTAATATGGTTATCTATCTTATTCGTTTAAATATACATGCAGTTATATTCTTTAGAGCACTTTCTTTTCCTCTCTTTTTTACAACGACAATTACACATTTTGAGTTTTATTACTCCCACAGTTCTTATTACTTTTTTTGAAGAGAATAAAAGCAAATGTGACATGACAAAACAGAGTCAGTCAAATCAAAAGGATGGACATAGTACATAATGTAAAAACAGAATACAAGGTGATCAAGAATGGTTACCATAATGCCTCTTGCTATCTTAAAAAGAATTGCCTATATCATCAGTTATAATAAAATTAAACAAAACAGTAAAGAACAAAACCATAAAACCAAAACATTGGAGACATTACAGGACTTCAAAAGAAGATAATAGTCAAACCAAAATGGGCATCATAGTGAACCTTATTGTCTTTACAGTTGTTGCTTATACTCTCAAACTTGGTACTATCAAGCAAAACAGAATAGAGGAAAATCAGTCAAAACAAGATGATGAGAGCAACACAGGGTTTCAAATCAAGTTAATAGGGCATCAAAGTGGGTTATTATAATATATCCTGCTATTTTTTATTTATTTTTTCCCTTAATTAAAAAGATAAAAATAAAAAATAATAAAAAAAGGAGATGGAGATAAAAGAGGGCGTAACAACAAAACAGTGCAGAACATAACCATTTAAGCAAAATAGTGTTCACCAAATAATCTCACAGGATTCTTTAACTCAAGCAGTCAGTTATAGGACTGGGTGTTTTTTCTTCAGCTTTTATGTTATTTAGAATATCTTTCTACAATAAAGGACAGAAAATAGGAAAGAGAGAGAGAGAAAGATAAAAAATTATTGTTATCATCTCTAGCATGGACAATGTACCTGAAAGCATACCTTGATTTAGTACAATCATCTCATATTTTATTAGTTTTTTTTGGGGGGGGGTTATTAGTCTGGTTCTTAATATATATATATATATATATATATAACTTTATAATGACTTATATGATACATAGTGAATCTGACGCTAGCAAAAGAGAGAGGAAAGGGGGAAAAATTGAGTTGTGTTATTTACCTGTACCAATTCCCTATAATGAATGTAATTATTATGTATAGCAAACACGTACTAATAAAAATTTAAAAAATAAAATATCTTCCTACATAAGTACAAATATCTCTGATTTTGATGGAAATCTACATGTCATGTCACTGTTTCACACAGGATTAAAAGCTGATAGTCAACTTAACACCAGCTGAATTAAATCAGCATGGTGCTGAGCGTAGATGTTCCACCTGAGGAAAGTTGCCAGCATAGAGAGAGAGATGGAGAAAATGAGTGAGGTGTTGTGAGTTTCTCTAAGTGCTGCTGTTTGAGCCGATGGTTCTCCTGGAGGAGCTCTTCATGACTAGCTTCCCCAGTGTGACTGTCATCAGAGGAGCTCAGGACCTTTTGGTGAGAGTGGCTATGGTTCACTCTGGGGAGCTCTGGTCCTTACATCAAGCATCACTTCCTGGTTACGGAGAGGCAGACCTGTGCCGTGTAATCTCCAGGATAAACTCCTCATGCTGGCTTTCTGGCATGTACTCAACTGTTCTTATCATTGGAGGAGCTCAGGATCTCTGTGTCACTGTGGATGGATGTGGTGCAAAATCTGAAGTTATTTAAAACCTTTCTACAAAACTAGGTAGTATTTGCATATAATTTACACATAATCCTTCCATGTATTTTAAATAATCTCTGGGTTACTTATAATACCTAATACAATGTAAATGCTACATTATACTGTTTAAAGAGTATTGTTCACAAAAGTTTATACTTGTTCAATATAAATACAGTATTTTTGTCTATATGTGGTTGAATTTGAGGATGTGGGACACTTAGATATGGAGTACCAACTCTAGTAGCAATTCTGATGTTCTTCAAGAGCCATTTTTAAATTTGCCTCACTTACAGTCATATCACTTTTTTTTTTTTTTTGGACAGGGTTTTGCTATGTGGTCTAGGTTGGCCCTGAACTCGAGGCAATCCTCCTGCTTCAGCCTCTCAAATGCTGGAATCACACCACCACACCAGGCTATATTTTATCCTAAATATATCCATGCTAGCCAAGTATCCTGCAAGTTTTCCTTTGTTTTATAGTCTCTTTTAAGAGATCTTATAAGAAAGAGATACTCTTAAGTTTATGGAATAGCTGGCATCCAAGGGCATGTAGCTTTGACATAGTTTTGGCCTACGTGGTTCCACTCCAATGAGACTCCTTCCAATACTGGGAATGTCCTGAGTTTGTGGGAGGCCATATAGCCACGTGGAGCAGACATGGTACCAGGTCTCAGCCTTGGGATGACTTTACACCATCTCATTGCATGTGTTTTTCATGTAAAAGCCAGAATGGTTTCTACGCATTTTGAAAGGCTTCTGTTGTCGGTGTCGCTCCCGGCCGGCAGGAAAGACACACGACAAAGTCTGGCGGTGTGCAACCTTGCCTTTATTTGTCTCCGCGTGGGCCCCGCGAGGCCTCCTCTCTGCCACCAGCCTTTTCTCGCCGGTGGACTTTCTCTATCTCTCTCTGTGCTTTCTTTCTGTGCTTCTTTCTTATGGCGGGAGAGGCATTTACTTTTATAGGGTAACAGTGGCCAATCAGTTCAAAGCGCGCGATGCGGGCTGATTGGCTAACATCAGTTGTTGCTAGGCAGACTATCTTACAGAGCGGGTTGTTTAAGTCGCCAGCGCAATCAGGGGGCAGGAAGCAGGCGCCAACTTGGCTCACTCGATGGGAGGGGCAATCTAGCTCAGGCTCCGCTCCCACCCACAGGCCCTACGTCCGCCAAGTAAGGCGACCGGTGTCGGCCGCGGCTCCCAACATTCTGTGATTGACATATTATTGCATATATATATTGCATCGCTCATACTGATTACTGTAAGACTGGTGTGGTGGCACACACGTGTGATCTCATCATTCTTGGAGGCTGAGGCAGGAGGACTGAAAATTCAAGCCCAGCCTGAGCAATTTAGTGACTTAGCAAGACCCTGTGTAAAAAAAAAATAAAAGGGCTGGGATAAAACTCAATGCAAAAATCCTACGTTCAGTTCTTAGCAACAGAAAAGAAAATAATGCTCGATGAGTATCAGTTATTAATTTTCTGCCATTCCTGATTACAGCTGACACTAGGAACATTAAAAAAAAATAAAATAAAACGAATGTAGGATTTTGTTAGCAAGGTGTTAGCAAACTGCTTTTCCCAGGTTATGCAGGAATTGTCTTGGTTAACAGTTCTTCACTTCACTCTCCATTAATTGTTCACTTTGATAAGTCTTTAGCAAAGCACACCAGACTGCACCATCTAGCCCATCTTCTGCTACTTTTGCTCTGCACTTTGCTTTCCACACTTTTCAAAAGCAAGTTATTTGCTGTTCATTGACTATAAAGAGTTTGGAGTCTTTGTCTACCTACCTGTTCCTGGCCCTTAATGTTTTCCATGCCCACTGGTTCAAACTCTAACTCTACTTTTTGGTCCAGTTAAAAGCAACTTGGGGGGGCTAGGGATTTAGCTCAGTAGCATAAGTGCCTGCCTGGTCACGAGTTCGATCCCCAGTACCCCCCCTCCCCGCCGCCGCCAAAAAGGGTCTCCTTCGTGGACTGAAAGGGTACACCATAAAGCACCCGTCTAAGAAACAAAACGATGATTATCCCAGTTGATTTAGCAATGATTGCTTTGCTGTCTATCATGAAAGAGTGGTTAAACACAATCATAAATGAAGTTTCTGTCTTCAGCAGCTTCCAATATTACTTTTTAAAATGGTCTTGTTATGTGAATAAGTGGTAATGCCCGGTTTATAAATAATACTGGCACTCATTAAGAGAAAGCGCACAGTGGTCGCTCACCCTAAGGCCGACCCTTGCTGGCCACCCGAAACAATAAGGGACCAGTTTTTCTGCTTGATGCCCTGAAGTATTTCATGGGCCTCCCGAGCTGAAAAGTCCCGGAGAGATGGCAGGAACCAGGCCGGCCTCGCTCCCGCGCAGACAGAGCCAGGAGGGCGTCCCGTCGCCTGCAGCCCTGGGGAGACCTCGTCTCCCCCATTTCTGAAGAGGACCCGAAACTTTCCCGGAGGCTGCCCCCTCCAGCGCCGCCCCGAGGGGCCGGGGCGGTCTTCCGCCGCAGAGATTTCCTCCCCCAGCTCGGATTGGCCGGGAGAAAGCCGGACGGACTCCAAGGGCGGAGACGCTGGTCCGCGCGGGGCGTGCGCGCGGCGGGGCGCAGTCGGAGATGTGGAACCCGCTGCAGGAGGCCGACGCGGCCGCGGGGGCCGGGCGCCGCTCGCGCTGGCTGTGCGCCGGGGCGCTGGGGCTGGCGGGCGGCCTCCTCCTGCTCGGCTTCCTCCTCGGTAGGCGGTAGGCGCTGCCCGGGGCTTGGGGAGGGGCGGCTCCGGGAGGACGCGCGCCCGCAGGGGGCGCAGGGGCGCGGGGCGCGGCGCTCCGTGGAGTTGTGCGCAAACTGCTCGCGGGACGGGGTCTCCAGGATCCCGCGCAGACCGGGGGGAAACTGGAAACTGAGCTTGGAAAGGTTCCCCAGGCTGGCGGCTGTGGAGCTCCGGGCACTCCGGGCACCCCGGCAGTGGGGACTTGGGAGGAGCTGAGGCACCTTTGGGAATCGGGTGGAGTTGTTGTCAGAGCTTGGAACAGATCCTTACCTCCAGGCGTCTGTGCTGCTTCTCGTGTACTGATTTACAGGCTTAACCGAACTCTCAAGAACACCCGAGCTGCCCAAGGAAACTTAGGCTGTTGAATTCTAAGTTTGATTCTACCACTTTTTGAACCGCTAGTCTCAGCCTCAGTTTCGCAGTTTTTGTGATGCGGATAATACCTACCCCTTACTGATCCTGGTGAATGAAATACCGTGCAAAACTCTTAAACCATCTTGGCGTTCTTGGCACTTTTTTTTTTCTTTTTGGTACTGGGAATTAAAAGTCAGGACCTTTTGCTTGCCAGGCAGGCGCTTGTGCCACTGAGCTGTCTCCCCACTCTCACACTTCATTTCTTGATAAACAGATATTCCTGACAGCAATCTTCTAAGGCAGCACCAGGTAATCAGGCGCTACTCTGATTTCTGGATCCTCGCTCAGATTCGGAAGACCAGAGCCTGGATTAGCTAGGTTTATTTAAATTCGATGTTTTCTGCTAGATGGTGGCGTGATCGTGGAATTCTAAAGAAACATTTGAGACATAGACTCTGCTCATAACTAACATATGGATTAGTAGCCACCTAAGGTTGCTGCTAACTTAAATGAGGTAGCATTCCAAAAGAATATGTTTCAAATAGAGTTTCCATTTTATCAAATGCAAGGATGGAAATTAAGACTTGGCGAGGTTGGTATGGTATTTTACCTATATGTCTTGAAGGCATCTTATTCTTCCTAGTGTTTCATTCTGATTCATACGTGTTCAGTGACTGAAAAAGAACAGATTTCTTACTTTTTTTTTTTTCTTTTCTGTTTTCTTAGTACTCTCTCCTCTCTCCTGCCTCTGAGGTGACTGTGCTCTTCTTCAGGTTCATTTTTTAGATCTTAGTTTACACAGCTCATCCTCAATGCCTTCCCGATCCTACAGTCTAATCCAAGTACTTCAGTTTAATGCTTATGTACAATCGATCATACGTTCCTGTGTCCAATCACGTATTTTAGTGTGCATGATCATATGCTTATATGTCTGTGTATAATGAACAATAATTTGAAAGCCAAGTGCTGAACTTGTAACAGTTTTATTTCCAGATCACATAATTTACCTAGATAAACCCTGTAATAATGCTCATGTCTTTCAGATCAAAAACTAACTGCAGAAGTTGTTTGCACCATCTAGGTTTCTATGGCCTCTGGCCTTATTCAGTGACCACTAAATGCTGTGCAGAGGTGCTAGATACATTGTAGCTTCACTATGGCTTTCTCTTCTTCAACTTCTCAGCCTATTTTGGCTGGAAACACAAAATCTTAGCAGTTTAGTTTTAGTTTGAGAACCAAAGCGAACTAAAGGCCGGAATTTTACAGTACTATGAAATAATTTGTGAACTTGGAATATATTCATAATTCATTATAAACATTAAATGTGTATTTAAGTCACCAATCACTGGAGAAGGAAACTATGAAGAAAGAAGGTAGATCCTCTTTCTGCCTTCATTTTCAAAAGATAACTTTTTAAAAAAACCTTGTTTATCTCTATTAGTTGAAACTTATTTATTAGGTTTTTTGAGACACAGTCTTGCTATATGGATCAGGCTGACTTGAAGTGACTGTAGCCCATGCTGGCCTCAAATTTTTGGTGATCCTAAATGCTGGGATTACAGGCTTGCACCCCATACTCAGCAGGCGATGCCATGTGTATTTGAGTGCTGATTTCCTCATAAAATGTTTCTTAGAATAATAACATGTATCATTGAAATAGGAATAAAATATATTGCACTTGTTTTGTAATTTAAAAATCTCTTTGCATCATCTTTTTTCAATTGAAATAGGAAATGGAAATTAAACTTTAGAAAATCAGAGGTAATTGATGTTATTTTACATGTGTCAGTAATAAGGAAAAATAAGAAATGCTTTTGTGCATGTATCTTACTTCTACATTTTGATTCATTTTACAGGGTGGTTTTTAAAATCTTCTAATGAAGCTACTAACATTGCTCCACAGCATGGCATGAAGAAGGCATTTTTGAATGGGTTGAAAGCTGAGAACATCAAGGAATTCCTATAGTAAGCATATGCTTGAAAGTTTATGCACAATTCATTTCAGACATTTACTCCATTGAGAACTTTTGATGTAATGTTTTGTATTCAGGAGCAAAAGTCAGAAAACTTTTTGTGCAGCAGCTGATCTCTGTCATAACAACTCAGCTTTGCTATTGTAGTACAAAAGAAGCCCTAGTAAATACATCCACAAATAAGTATGTCAGAAGTGATAAGATATTATTTATGGTCACTTAAATTTGAATTTCATATATTGACGTTCCACAAAATGGTTCTTCTGCTGTATTTGCCGGTTTAAGTGTCAAAATCATTCTTTGTGCACTGCAAAGAGAGGCAGCTGACCAGGTTGGGTTGAGGGACTTTAATTTGCTGACTTGGACATTCAAGGAAGACAATGTATTGCAGTAAAAAAATAAAAAGATAAATAAAAGTGGACTTTGGAGTTAGAATTGAGTTTGAATTCCATCTTTATTCATTAATTGGTGAAGTAACTGGGTAAATGTTTCACCTCCCTGAGTCTTCATTTCCACATATATAAAGGAGAATAATGATAGTACTGTGACGAACATGGAACTGGGAGTTGGGCCTGGTGCCACACCCCTGTAACCCCAGCACTTGGGAGGCTGATGCAGGAGGATCTCTGTGAGGCCATTCTGGGCTACACAGTGAGTTTAAAGCCAGTTGGAACTACAACGTGCGACCATCTCAAAAGAAAAAACAAAAACAAAAAATTCCAGAAATTGGAGAGAATGTTTAGCGTATTTTAAAAATTTATTCCTGGCTCTTGGAGAGATAAATGAGTGTATTATAAAATATTTACAAAATAGCTAAAAACAAAGCACTTTCATATGATTAACACAATATTTTATTAGAATGCTTAGTTCTCAAAGCATCAAGTCTTTTTTCTTTAATACTAGCTTAGTGCATATGTCTAAAAATATCTGAAATCTCTTTAGTGACTGAAAGATTACCTGAGGAAGACAAGTTGTAATTTTATAGAAAAGACCATTCCATATACATGCATACATAAATATATACATACACATAAATACATCATATATGTATCATAGATATGCAAGCACAGTCCTACAGACACTCAAGTCTACATTAATTTTCAACAGAATTAAAATTGTGCATAAAAATTTGCTACAACACCCCTCAGGTTTTGGGGAGGGACCCTTCAAGTATAAGGCCTGAATTTAAACTCCTTTGCTTTGTGGAAAAACCTCCTCTGCCTTTTGTACTTATTTTATTGTAAACATGAATAATAGGCATTATAAAAAAGTGAAAGTTTTGTTGATGTGGGATAAAAGCTGACTAAACATTAATTTTTAATCACTTTCAATTTTTGTTCACCAGCAATTTTACACGAGTACCACATTTAGCAGGAACAGAACAAAACTTTCAGCTTGCAAAGCAAATTCAATCCCAGTGGAAAGAATTTGGCCTGGACTCTGTTGAGTTAGCCCATTATGATGTCCTGTTGTCCTACCCAAGCAAGACTCATCCCAACTACATCTCAGTAATCAATGAGGATGGAAGTGAGGTAAGAAGAAAAGGGATTGACACAAACCTTTCCTCTGTCTGTTTGTTCAGGTACCTGTTAAGAAACTGCCCAATTTCGTCTCCAGATATTAATGGAAACCAATATTATTGAAGCTTGTGAATAATAATACTTAATGTCTCATCACCAATGTCATCTGCTCTCATGTTATTTTAATTGAATGTGATATTGGGAAGATTCTGAGAAACCAATACTTGATATTATTTCCATCTTTTTATTATGATACAGTAGTAAGCATCCAAGTAACTAAAATAGATTGTTTATGTCTGTGCCAAAAACTTGTATGTATACATTTGGAAGACAGTTTTGAGGGAGACTATAGAATGATATTTACTCGAAAGAATTTATAACTTTATATGCAGTTAAGGGCACATCCTGGAGAAAACAAAAATAATAGATAATTGAAATCTTTCTTACGATATGTGTTCCTTGTGAAAACTTACAAACTGTAACTCAGATACTCATTCTTATTTAGTTTTAGGGTTTCTATTTCTAGCACAGTTCTTTTTAATCTATTTCTGTGATTCTGAACTGTATGCTGTATTTTTCCTGTAGATCTCCTAAATTTGTCAGTTTTCTCCAGCTTTGTTTTTTACCTGCACATTATTTTTCATTTAAATTTTAATTCAGTATCGTGTACAATAAATATGCCTGTGCAAATGTGATTTCACTCTCTGTTCTTTCTCTTGACTCTTTTCCATTTCCAAATACATACTTTGTATGTATTTAGTGATTTAGCTCTGAGTTCTTTTGTGGGGTTCTTTAAGGCCTCAGCTAAAGTTAGTTCCTCCTGATAATTTTTTCCAGCCCCTAGGGACATGACAAGTCCATTAAAGTGATTATTTCTCAGCTTGAGGCATTTTGTTCCACATAGGTAATAAGTGGAAGATTTTGGGTTATGAATCCTGTGGGTCTTTTCTCTCTACCTGAAGCCATCACTTCCTAGAGAACAAGTTTATTTCTAATTTACCATTAAGAGTAAAGAGCATTTTTCTTTAGAAACCAGCTTTGTACCAGGTTCTCCTGTTTAGACTCCATTATTTAGATTGGCCTCAAACTCTGAATTACTGTGTCCCTTTTGTGGGGCATTGGGCTTTGACAGATGTTACGGTCAGCTTTCTATTTCTATAACAAAATATCTGAGGTAATTAACTTAGAGAAGGTTTCTTTTGGCCCCTGGCACTGGAGTTCCCAGCCCTTTATGAGGGGAATCCCATGTCTTGGGGCCTCTGATCAGACAGGACCTAATGTCCGAGCATGTGTTGAAGCAGCTGCCAAGCCGTGTGGCCAGAAAGCAAAGAAGAAGGAGGCTGGGCATGCACATCACCTTTAGTGACCTGGTACCACCTGCAAGTCCCCATCTCTTTGGCCTCAGGTCTCACCACCTCCAGATACCTCCACACAGGCCTGAGCACATGGACCCCGGGGGCTCTCAAAATGCAGACCACAGCACAGACTTCAGTGCTAATCTCAGGATTCCTTTGATGTCTTTTTTTTTTTCCCTTCTCTTTTGAATTCTGAGTGTTTCTTACTTTTTGTACTTCAATCCAATGTTACACTTCCAAAGATACATACTTTTGTTTTGTGTGTGTTTTTAAAATCATTGTAAATGTTTTTCAGTATATCCAGATACTATGGATATGAGTCTGCCAATTATGTAAATTTTTAAATTGAAATTAATATTTAATTTGTTCCTAGGTAATGTTAGCACTGAGTCCCTGTGACTGCTATACAATATGTATTTGTTTTGTTTTGTTGTTTACTAAATCAAAAGTTAGCGCTTTTAGCTTCTCTAAGGGGCCTCCTGGGGAATTTACTCCCCCTCTTCCGTGAAGCAGCTGTTTCTATAGCAGAGTGGGAGATTTGCTGCTTTCCCCAATCTATTGCTAATTCTTCCTGTAAGATACAGTATCTTCTCTTTAGATAATTGCTCTCCTCTGAACTTCTTTTTCAGTTATTTATTAACTTTACCCTATACTTAGTTATTATCTGGTTGTTGGGTTTCCTTTGTTTTGTGGCTTGATCTGTGTCTCCTTAGTGGATTCTGAGAACAGATCAAAATTTATTCTTCTCCCCCCCCTCCCACTTTCTAGCACAGTGCTGGGGATCTGGTATCTGCTCTCATAATACTGAAGGATTAATTAACCTTCTACTGACAGAAGAGATGCTTTGCATTTTGCCTTATTTGACGGTAGTAACCAGACTTCAACTGATTTACTTTTTGATGGTGGCATTTCTTTCTCTAGGTTTTCAACACCTCATTATTTGAACCACCACCCCCAGGGTATGAAAATGTCTCAGACATCGTACCACCTTTCAGTGCCTTCTCTCCACAGGGAGTGCCAGAGGTAAGCATGCAGCACGGGAGAGTAAGGGTCTCCCTTCCCTTCTAACGCAGCCCTAATTAAGGGGTAAGAAGAGGAGTTTTTATAGAATTCAAATTCATCCTTTTCCCACATGTAAGAAACTAAGAATTTTCAGTAAGTAAAAGGACTATTGATTTTTGTGTATGTTTGCACAGTGTTTGTTTTCAGATAACATTTACCACAAGGAAATACACAAACTTACGCTTTTGTTGGCTGTTGGAAAAGCCGTATACCTATTTAATATAAACTCCTTAATATGTAAATTAGCATTGCTTCAAAAATGTTCTCTTATACCCCTTGTTATGCAACTCCATACACCCCAGAACAAATATTACTCCATTATTAAACCACTATATATTAATTTTTCCTCTTCTAGAAACTTACGTAAATGACATTGTGTGACATCAATTTTTTTATTATTTTAGACATCAGTTGTTTTAGTCTAGCACAGAATTTTAGCAAGAATCTAAAATTTCTGTGTTTTAGCACATTAGTATTTTATTGGTAAATAATTTCTGTTTTGTGAATATCCTACATACTTTACTGTAATTGTGAAAACTGGTTAATTTTCAAAGGGCTTAAATAATGGTATTATTTTTATTTCCAAATTAAGAGAGCATGCTTGTACATTCTACAAAATTGTTTGCAGTTTCCTTAATAAACTATGCATGAGTATCATCTGAAATTTTAAAATTAATCTCCAGATTCTTGCACAGTACTTGGCTTTTGGTGAGTGTATAATTATTTGTTCTTCTATAGCAAAATACTGAAGACTAGCTAATTGATTAACTTCTTGGTGATTTTTCAAAAAGTGACAAACAATAGAATATTTTCTGTTAGCTGTATGAAATTTATTTAAAATAAGCAGTTTCCATTGTACTTAATAATACAGTGTTAAAATGTGTGTTCTTTTAAAATTGTCACATAAGCCTGTGATGGTGGTACAGCTACTTGGAAGATGGAGAGAGGAGGGTTGCACGTTTGAGCCCAGTGTGAACAACTTAGCAGACCCTGTGTCAAAATAAAGTAAAAAGGGACAGGGATTTGTTTAGTTGTAAAATGCTTCTCTAGTTTGTGAGAGACTCTCTGTTCAATCCCTCGTACCTCAAATTAAAAATTGATGTAAAATAAATACGCTTGCCATCATTATAATTATTTCATAATTGAGATAAAATGAAATAAAGGGTATAATGGTTGGGAATGAAGAGAGTATGTTTTGGGTCTCAGATATATTGATGTTACCTAGATTTACTGTGTTAAGAATCTGACTCTGTGAGGTCCTTTATTTACTTTGTTTTCACTTAGTGTCTCATTCTTACTTTCCGTCCCATTTTTCCAATCCTCTCCCCTCTACACTCATTCTAAGGTGTTTTGTCCTTAAATACGTATGTGTTTTTGAAGATACATGAAGTGCGTGTGTTTGATGCCCTTTACATGTATGTATATGCCGTTATACTTTAGACCTTATATGATTTCTTAGTATATTCCATCGTAATCTGTCTGTGTGGGTTTATGCAGGAGCAGATCATTAGTTTTCACTGTTGCATACCTTTTCATCTTCTGTGCACACCACAATTAACTCTTCCATCCTCTTAGTGATGATCACACATCTTATCTCTAAATTCCTATTATCCCAGAAAGAACCACGGTAAATACACTCTTATATGTCCAAATAGAGGCCTGCAAGGGCATCTCTGTGGGCAGTAAGCCAACCACAGGATTGCAGGGTTCTAGCGAAGCCTTCATTTCCAAAGAGCCACCCAATGCAATTTATACTCCCACTGACAATGAATGACATTCTTCTTTCCTCGGGTTTTATAAGCTCTTCATAAATATAACTTTAGAATTTTTGACCATTTAATTGTTTTTTTGTTTTAACTCACATTTCTGATTACAAAGGAGGGCTATTGCCACTAAACATAGACATAAATAACTACTCTGGCTTATATTTTTGTGAAATGATTGATGATTGCCTGCGACTTTTCTTGTTGAAATTCTGGCCTTTTGGATGTTAAGTTGTATGGGTTTATTAAATATTTTAATTATTAATCCCATATTGGTTTTAGATATTGTAAATAGTTTTCTGTTATTTTTCAGTTCTTTGTTCACTTTGTGTGTGTTGTCCTTTACGGAAAAGAAGCCCTTAATCATGATTCTGTCAAATTGTTTCCATATATTTTTGTCCTTTGGGTTTTTTTATTCTTTCAATTATTTACAGTAATATATTTATATAACTAGAATATACAAAAATATTAATGAAAAATCTTCATTTAAAAATAATAGACTGGATAAACATAGACAAATAATATTTAATATCACAATATGTAATGAGGGAATTTTATTTAATATAGTTATTAAATCAAATTCACTTTAAAAATCTTACTAGATAAGTGTGAACCAGTTGGAGAGCAATTAGCAGAGCATGATAACACTCTGCTGTAGTCCCAGCGCTGTGGGAGGCTGAGGCAGGAAGATCACAAATTAGAGCCCAGCCTGGACAAGTAAGCAACACTTTGTCTCAAAATAAAAAATAACACATGGGCTGGGGATATATCTTAGTAAGAAGCCCTTGGTTTCAATCCCCAGTACTGAAGAAAAAAAGGAAAAAGAAATACAATGGAAAATGTATAGAACAGTGAAAAGATTCTGTATGTAGAAATACTTTATGAATTAAGACAGGAAGACAGGTTGTTTATGTAGGTTTCTGAAAAACCAGTTAGCATCCACTAAATCAGTTTTAGATCTTAATATAATCATTTTGCTCATAAGAAAGCATCATTGAGATCATAATCACATTTCTTTCAAGTATGCTTAAATAGTTTCAGAGTAATGACAGGATTGAAGGAGTACAGTGATACCTTGATTCATAAACTTAATTCTTTTGCTTCTGGTCACAGAATTCATTTCACGAATCTGATTACATCTATGGGCTTGCAGCTCAGTTGAAACGAGAACTGTGGAACAAATTCTGTGACCAGAATCATGGAAAGAATTAGGTTCATGAACCGAGGTACCATTGTATGTTATTTGACGTGGGACTGCTATTTATGTTCAAATGTCAAATACGGTGGCTGGCTTGTATGCTTTTCAGCCAGTAGACTGCCACTTCTCTTATAAGTTAGGTATTCCTATATGTGTGTAAGACACTTCACCATCCGTAATCTTTGAATCTATGTCCAACTTCCCTGGAATGTTGAGTATAGGGCCCTGCTTTTGACAAGTTAGTCTAATCTAGTGATTCTGTGTTTTGTATTAAAGTGGAGGCTTTCTAAGCCACAAATTCTGATTTCTACCTCTTAAGCCTCAGTAGTCTGGGTGAGGACTCAAGTCTGTGTGTCTGACAAGGCCTACCTACATCATGCTGGGACTGTGCTTTGGGAACCAGCTCCTGTCGCCCACTTCTTTCTCTCTCTATTAACAGGGCAGGAAGTTAGAACCTTGAAGTAAACAGAGACAATTCTAAGTCAGTTTTGCAAGATTGTATTTATTCATAGTCACAGAACAATAGTACAGTGTATATCAGACAAGAAGGCCATTGTCTGGGAACAAAGCTTTTTTTCTGAGGAACAGTGACAACTGCCATCTGAGAAGTGCCAAGGGGACTTACCTATCACTTGTTTTCATTTTCAGAGTTTACTGTCATTTTCTAACTAATGTCTTCTCCAGTCCCTTCTCTATCGTAATTTGTTTTGTGAGGATTGTCAGTCTGTCAAAAGATAGCCACTTTAGAGAAATTGAAAAGTCGGTGATAGTCATTCAGGATGAATTTCAAGTAGGAAGCTTATTTTTTTCCTGAAATCAAATTGGTTAACAATTTTGTAGCCACTGTTAAAATAGGAAAAGAAGGTACTGTAGTGTGGGTTAGCACTTATAAATCAGATTACAGTGTTGTTATTAATAGCACAGTAATATTACATTGATTTTAGGAAAAGATGCAGTAGCTAAAAAGTATTCCTGTCAGTGTGATAAAGCAAGCACTTGGGAGGCTAAGGCAGGAGGTTTGCTGTGAATTCGAGGCCAACCTGTAACCAAACTATTCCTTTAATAGAAGCAAAGATTCAGATGTCATCACTGCAATATTTCCTTCTTAATTAAAAAATTATACCTACTCAAGTACTACCTCATTTTTTGCATGTTCTCTTTAAATTAACTTTAGTTTTTCTATATATCAATATATAGAACTATATATTCTATATATCAACTTTAGTTTTTCTGTGTATCAATCTTTACTAAATAATTTGCTTAGAAAGTAACTGTAGTGTTTATCTTCTTATTTTCCTTCATCTACACTGATGAACATTCCTCAGCCACAGGGATTTGTGTACTGCCTGGAACTCTGGCTTATAAGTCTTCAACAAATCTGTCAAATGAATCTTAGCTTCAGTTTTGAAACAGCTCTGTTTTAGTACGTGGTGTAAATTTAGCATGTGCATACTATGCAAAATGTAGTCAAGAAGGAAAACTATAACCAAAATAAAATTACAAGATTTTGGAAACCGTGTGGGACAGGGCTTCAAAATGGGGAGCATAAAAACGCCCCACTGGCAGGGATGGGGCCCATTAAGGAAATTGGTTTCCGGGTCATCAGTTGCCCAGTGTACTCTGTTTTGGAATTGAGACTTGGCTTGTGGTGAGACCCTGCTGCTACTGTGTCCCCACCTTTCTATTTACAGTCACTTTTTCCTCTTGGTTTGCAAATGGCAAATGTCTCCCACTTATCCTACAGCACTTATGAAGTATTTCTTTGATTTGTAAGAATCTCTGAGACTGCAGAAAAAAGAGACTATTAGAAATGTGCTCAATGTTAACAGTGAACAATTCTGTTACCTGGGTTGCAAATTTGTTATCCAGTCTGATATTTTGCATTTAGTTTGCAAATGAAAGTTCAAACCAATTAAGTTTCCAGCTAACACGTTAACAGTAACTCGGAAGATAGGTCAGTGTGTGATTTTTGGGTTGTTATTTGACTAAGGTTTATGCATATAACAATTTCATAATAAAACTTTTCTCATATGTTCCATGTAGAAACAAGAAATGTGAATAGGACTGTTTTTGATGCTTGTCTTACTCTAGCAATAACTCATTTATACATAGATTTATAAGACAATGTTTTATCATTCCATTTATCGTATTAAGAGATTTCTCATTAAATTTTGTTATCTATTACTTATAGAACTCTTCAGGGACTATTTGACTTATTTTGATATAACAATAATAATGACATGCCATTGAAACATTTTCTTAACGTGCAGCCTGTCATAGGAAATAGAAGTTTCAAAGCTGCTTTTATATATATATATATATATCTCCAAGGAAATTTGAGTGATTAATAGAAGACTTTCAAGCATACCTGGATCCAAGATAATAAAACTTGAAATGGGGTTTGATGTGTTATATGATAATTAAGGAGTGTTCCTTCGTAGTCTATGTCTGTGGCACAGAGGAAGCTGGGTTAGGCAGAGGAATCAGTCACACTGAAATGCTAGCTCAGGGACAGCAGAGCTTTGGAGTAGCCTTCACAATCGTTCTGCATTGGACTGAGATGTTCAGGTCTTCATTTGTGCATCTCAATCAGTTGTTAAATGTTTGGCATCTGAAAAAGAGCTGTGACCTTGAGCAAGTTGGCTGCAGCTGAGGCAGTCCCTAAAGGAGTCCTAGTTGGTGGCAGTGCCCAGAAAGTCTCCCTGCAGCTGAAGCAAGAAGTCCTTCATGGAGGCAGTGTTCGAGCAATGCATCCTAGAGCCATGGAAAATACACTGTACAGTAACATGCTGCAGGAGAAAGGAGACAAAATACAAGTTCATGGACAAAAAGCATTCTGACAGTAAAGAGGAATGCGTGCGTGTATTTCTTTAAATGGGTGATGTTGAGTGATACATAAGTACACACAGTATTCACATTCCTTTGTATACATAACAAAAATTATAAGCTTCTGAAATTATATGTGTGGCTACAAATGTTAATATTGATAGTGTGCTAAAATTACATTCTTTGCAGATACTTAAAAGTATGAAAAAATTTAGATGTCTGTAAAATATATGGATGAGTACATCACTTTTCAAAATTAAAGAGTAGAGAAACAAAATTGATGACAGATTGCTGATCTAACTCAGCATGTCATTTTACAAATGAGAATGTTGAGACTCAGAGGTTCTCCAATAGTTGCACAGGCTCTTACTAATGGTGGAATCCAGACCTGCAAACCTGTTCATTCTTCCTCACCTGCTGGCTGTGAACATCCATACTTATGGAAGTACCCTAAAGAAAACAATGGTCTCATCAGGGCGTCTTTACCCGGATGCTTGACCTCTTCTGACTGCATATGGTAGTGTTTATGTGCATTTTTCTGGGGAAATGCATCTGTATCTTTATAGGTACTAAATAAAAGATTAAAAACAACATGTACCCCCCTCCAAAAAGAAAGATGATCAAGAGATGGTTGGAGGAGGGAAGGAGGGAAGGGAAAATGGATGAAAGAAGGAATTTAGGTGACATGTGTCAACTCCACACAAGAAATGTAAACATTATAAATACACATGCACTAAAAAAGATGATCAGAGAAAAGGATAGTGCTAGTTTGTTAATAATAAAAATTTTACCTAATTCAAACGTCTCTAAACAACCTACTTTCTAAATTTAAATTAACTTAATTCTGTTATTTAGGTTCATGTTTGACCCTTTTGTATGGTTTTAATTCTTCAGTCTTTCAAATGTATCAAACATCCCTCGACAGAGGAACCTACTTTATAGTAACTCACTGCTGATCTCAACAGGGGGATCTAGTGTATGTTAACTATGCACGAATTGAAGACTTCTTTAAACTGGAGCAGGACATGAAGATTAATTGCTCTGGGAAGATTGTGATTGCCAGATATGGGAAAATTTTCAGAGGAAATAAGGTACAGGTCATCTTTCCTTCTCTTCCAATATAAAGTTACCTGACATGTGGAACTGTATTTTTTAAAATTTCTGAGGGCTGTGACCACTTTATATTTTGTAAATGCCTACATTTCAGACCCAACACATGTAGCAACTTACAGGCAGTGGTTTTTTTTTTTTTTTTTTTTTTTTTTTTTTGTCTTTTTCATTTTTATCGGTACCAGGAATCGAACTCACGACTGCCTGCTTGCAAGGCAGGCGCTTATGCCGCTGAGCTAAATCCCCAGCCCCCAGGCAGTGGTTTTAAATCAGATCACCAGAATTCAGCCAGTGTAGGGCAGCGTGGACACAGCAGATTTTTTTTTATTCCATATCGGTGATTTTTCATGTGACTACAAAAAAAAACATGCACTGGGTTTCTTGTTAACTTTCAATGTCTTTGTTTTAAATATTATCTTGAAAAACATTTGCTAAATTAAATTTGAATATTAAATTTAAATTGTTATAAATAATGGAAGAAATTTTCACATAGCTATTTTTGAAGTTACTGTTGCTTGATTGGTTATTTTTTTCCTCTTGTGAGAATGAAATTTGAGATACTTCCCTTTAGCCATGTATCAAATAGGAATCCAGCCCGGGAGTCTTCTTGCTTACTGCACTTCTGGACTCGTGGAAGGAAGCAGCAAATACTTGCTGACACAGCAATTTTCCAAATCCGCTGCTTTGAGGGCTGATCCATTTTTAGAACGTGAATTAGAAAAATGCAAAAGGCAATTCTCTGTAATGCATTCCTTGTTAAGTAAAACAACAAAGTGTTGGAGACAAACCTCCACTACTGGTTTAAATATATGTTGGGAAACCAGTGTTACCAAATCTAGGCAAATGGCTTAAATAAGAAAAGGGCGCCTGTTTTCTAGGTTAAAAACGCTCAGCTGGCAGGGGCCAAAGGAGTCATTCTGTACTCAGATCCTGCTGATTACTTTGCTCCTGGGGTGGCATCCTATCCGGATGGATGGAATCTTCCTGGAGGTGGTGTCCAGCGTGGAAATATATTAAATCTTAATGGTGCAGGGGACCCTCTCACACCAGGTTACCCAGCAAATGGTGAGTGGTCAGGCCTCAAACATTACCAAAAGTGTAACAGCATTTTAGGTTTCCTTTGATACAGTGTACTGAGAATATCTGTTTTTTTAAAAACTTGTATTTTGGAACATACACAGTTCAAATATAAGATTTTTTTCTAGCTAAACAATATGGTACATATACTATATAATTCATATCACTGGGACAGAACATAAGAAACACGTATATAAAAATTTTTGTACCACCTTATAGGAATATTGGCAGAAAGTAGGGGTAAGAAATACAGATAGACACATGACTGCTCAAGTCAGATTTTGGTGTCACATGAGAGTTTTATTGACAAATTCAACCTAATTTAATAGTTTTCAGTTTTGGAGTTTTGTTTATGCTCATTTGTTCGATTGCTTTTCTAGTTCATAAGAAATAGGAAAACAAAAAAATAGAACAGAAATTCTTATATAAATTCATTAAATGGCAGAGTATTCAGTCTCCCAAAAGGCACATTGCTTGTGTTACTATACAAAGATTACTGTCCAGGAGTAACTGTCCGGGTGTGTTTCCTAATGCCACCACTCTGTGTGTATTAACCTTAGGGTGATAGATGGCGGGGTGGTGGGGTGGTGGTCATGATCTCTATTTGACAGGGGCGGGGAAAGTGAGACTAGGAGAAGTAAGCAGTGTCCCCAAGATAACCACACCCACATGGAGAGCTGGGATTAAATACAGGAGTCTGGTTTCAGGGCTTCAGCACCATGCTTGTCCACTGTTGAAATAATGCCTTGCAAACCACTAATAAAAAGAACTAAATTATTTTGGATGGGCTCCACTACCTGATGATGATTACAAGTATCTGTGATCATTTATTTCAAAACAAAATTTGTATAACATAGACAAAAGTTTGTTAGAGTATCTGTGGCATTTATATATTTATTCATCTGGTTTTTCTATCAAGTTGTAGATTTCCTTAGGGCTTATGTGTATTTTTGGCTTTATAAATTCTCCTAAGAACAGTGTCATAGATTGTTTTCTTTTTTCACATAACACATACTGTTCCATAATAAAGCAATATGAATCTGCCTGAACTTTACTTACTCTGCTATTTTATTCCCAAATTTTAAAAAGGTGCAACTTCTCAATTGTTGCCTATAAAGAGCTAAACTCGTGGAAATTACAGAGATCAGCTGAAATATTTCTGTTGATGATCTTTATATCTAAATTAGGGAATCTTAGAGGAAAATATATTATTGTATGGGGCTAACATTTAATTGAATTCCCTTGTGTTCCATTACATTTTTTTCTTCTTTTTTAGTTCTGATTACTAGGTAGACCTCATATATAGGAAAATAGAGATAGTAATCACCATTTTGTCTACTGTTTTGACCTATTCATCTTACTCTCACTCAGTAACAGTGAACCTTTTAGGACTTTTAGTGGTGACAGACAGACCACTGTGGCATGTGTGCCATGGCCTTTCACCACTGCTCTGAAAATTAGAAAACAAGTTTTATCCAGTATGTCATGTCATTTTATCCATAAAAAATAGGCTTGTATAATTGCCTAAATTTTTAATTAGGTAATTTAAGAACTTAGAGGGAAAAAGGAAAAATATAGCTCTAATTTTTCTTAAATTTGAAAAATTGTATCAGAATATACTTACTTTGCAATAAAGTTTGCATACACTAGAATCCATAGTTCTTGAGTTTAGTTTTGAAAAATTACATAAGTTTTGAAAATTGTAATCAATTTTGGAAATCTGTGTCACCCAAAATAAAATGTCACTTCTATCACTTCAGAAAGTTCTCCTGTGTCTATTTCTGGTCAATTTTCAATGCACCTCTTAAAAGCAACCATTTTTTTATATCTAACAACATGTATTTGTTTCTGGCTTTGCACTTAAAATGGAGTGCAATGGTAGATGTCTTTTTGAGCAGAACTGCTTTACTCGGTGTAATCATGTGAGATTTTCCATGTAAGCACACGTTAGTTTTAATTGTTGGTAGCACAGTGTTATGGTACCATACATAAATTGGTTACTTGTCTTATTGTCAGAAATTTGTTGGATAATATAAATGTGACTGCTTTAAATGGTTCTGTAAGATCCTTTTGTGTATATAGATTTTTTTCATACTTCTTGTGTTGTGTCATAGTGTATATTTTAGTTTAACGTGGCTTTTCAAACTCTGACAAGCGATACACAAGAATTTTAATTGCTACACATTCTTGCCAACATTTGGAATTATGAATTTTTCACCATTGCAAAGTAGAAGCAAAATTAAACTGTGTTTAATGTAACTTACGGGTGAAAGGGATTGAGTTTTAATTGGAATGTATTCATTATACTTTCAGAATATGCTTATAGGCATGGAATTACAGAGGCTGTTGGCCTTCCACATATTCCTGTTCATCCAATTGGATACTATGATGCACAGAGGCTGCTAGAGTAAGTTCACAAGGAACAAACAGACAATTTGGATGATTCTCATTATTGGCACTTTCCATATGTTTGCTTTTATATACTTTTTTAAAGGGATACTGATATTTTTGGAGATGAGTGGAACATGTAGTTGCATCATCATTATATAGAATATGGATTAAGTTCTGTAGTGTACTTAATAGATGGGTATCTAGTGTATAGCAGCATGAAAATGAATCTATCAGATCTCCAACTGCAGGGGGTGTAATTGATCCATTTTTCCAGCCACCGTACTTTGAAACCCCTCATCCTGTTTGCATCCCAGCTGTGCTTCCTCTAGGTGATCCTAGGCAATGACTCAGTGAGGCAAGGAGGCTAAGATGAGTCTATTCTGGGAGGCACAAGACTTTTAAGATGCGAAACGCTGGCTTGTGGAGTCCTTAACAACTTTGCTCTACTAGATGGTGCGCCCATGGCTCCATCTCTTCTTCCTTTGCTCTCTCCTTTCTGCTGTGTCAGACTTGCGTTGCATGTTGATAGGTTCCTTAGCCTTCCCTAGCACCCTGCTTATTTCCTTCACAAGCTTTTACTGGTGCATTTCTTTTATTTTCTACTTCTTGAAGAATCCAAAAGGATACAGTGTGATAGCTACTCATATTTTATTTTTGAGTCTTTGTCTCTTCTTTCTCTGCTTTTAATACTGAAATTTCTACAGATGCATTATTGTTTAAGCTGACATGGACCCGCTTTCCCCTTTCCTCCCTAGTTCTTCTGTCCATCTGTCCTTCCTTCTCTGCTACCCTTTAGGAGGGGAGAGCACAGATTATTCTGAAAGCATCCGTCCAGTTTGTCCTTTTTCTTTTTTGAGTTCAAAGCATTCCTGCCGTTAGTCTAGATTTATGAGAAAGCATTTTATGACTCCTTCATTGCAGGGCCCTCATTTTTTATAGATGAGGCGGTTGATATGCAGAGAGTTGGGACTATGTGTCCAATTTAAGGACAGTCTGAGGAAGTGTGCTAATCTTTTTTTGTTTTGAGGCTCTTATGCGTCAGCTCTGTATTCTGTTTCATATGTTGTAGTTGTTTTTATATGTATCTTTTTGAGTGGCTTATAAACTCTTGGGTAGAAATACACAATTCTCATACATATTTTTTATTCCTTATTGAGTAGAACATAGCACATTTAGCATAGTAGATAGTAAATCTTTGCCAAAGGTCAAGTCAAAATTAATATGCTACAGATTACCGGTTTTTAAATTCAGTACTATTTATACATATTTATGGAACATCAGTCTTTCAAGTCTTGTCAGAGATGTATTTAAATTTTATTTATATTGTCTAATGTTCTTAGGGTTTGATAATTTAATATTCAATGCTTTCATTTTCATTTTCATATTTATTAACTTATTTTGCTATACTGGGTATTGTGACCAGGGATGCTCAACCATTGAACTCTTATCTTCATATATTTTTATTTTTTATTTTGAGACAGACTCAAAATAGTCTTTGAGTCACTAAGTTGCCTAAGCAGGACTGAAACTTACAGTACTCCTGCTTCAGCCTCTCTTAGTGCTGGCATTACAGATGTGTACCATTCTGTCTTCATTTTTTTTAATTGATGGAATAAGGGATAGACCTAAGTACATGTCTGTCTCAGTAATATATATTGAGTAAAACCTTCATTTTTTCCATGCATGTGTTGTATTTCCTTTACTAATGTGTTAGATCATTGTATGTAACTATTATATTTTTTCTAACCATCTGTTTACCTTTCCTTGTGGGACCAATTCAATCTCAGCATTTTATTTTATTGTTTTATGATTTAGATGATTCTCATTAGTGGCAGTTTCCATATGTTGTGCTCATTACCCCTGTTGTTTATAATACATCGTTGCTTATTCTTCCTGATTATTTTATTTTTTATGTTTCATTTTAAAAAGGAAACAAATTTACAAAACTAAGAGGTGGAGAGATTTACAGCAAAAGTTTACTCTTTATGTATTTCTACCCCAAAGAAAACAGTATTATTAGTTGATAATATTGCACAAATATTTTTGGTGTAATCATACACATTTGCCTTGTACAACTTTTTGAATATTTAATACTCTGATGCTTTGATGGATTTACTTTCTAGCTACAAAATACTTCTAATAATACTTGATGCTCTTTATGTGAAAATATAAATAACTTTATAGTTATTTACTTAAAATTCTGATTTTTAGCTAAATTCCCTAGTGAGACAGGCAAAAAAGAGAACAAATTTACTCTCCTGTAGAGCTCTTTAAAATCAAATATTATGTCCAGTTATTTTTTTCATGAGAAGCTAAACTTACTGATTGTTTAATTATTCGAGGTCAAGCATTCACATTGCCTCAAGCACCTATATACAGAGAAGGGAAAAACCAGGAGCCTGTAGCATGTGCCCCTCTCCAAAATGTAAAGTGCAGGGATTTATGACAAGAAAACCGTGGAAGATTTCAACTCCACATTTCATATTTAAACGTTTCAGTATCATTTCAAGTAACATTTATCCAGGCATTATTTATGGAAATGCATTTAAGGTTTGGATATTCTTTCTTAATGGCAACAAAAAGGCTCTTGCAAGCCCAAACGAGTCTGTTTCTGCCTTACAGCTGGACTTTCATCAGCACTTACAGTTAAGGTAGAAATTATGCACTTTGAATCCTGGGTTAGTTTCCTAAGTTTGTCTGTAACATATTCGTTTGTCTGGTGTGATTCACAGAAGGCATGTTTAATGTTCACGCCCAAACCAAGACTTAGGTGGTCTACGCTCTGAATACAGTGAAGACAGACACGGTAAAGTGAGGTGACAAGGACTCTAGTTGCCATCTTGCCAGTGGCAAACCTTAGCGTGATGTTTCTTAGTCACCTGCCAAGACATTACTGGGGGCTACTGGCACATTGTAGCTGATCACTTAGTCCACATCTTCACATTTAGAAAAATAGCGTGAAGGTTTAAGGAGCTGTTAGTTAAATCTTTCCTTTACTCTTGTCTTCCTACCTATGTGTGAGAAAGTACTGTAAAGTTGGCTAGATACATATTTGAGAATAGGGTTATTAGAAGGAGAAATAACAAAATAGAAAATTTCAAAGTGGTAGACATCAAGCTTTTTTTTTCGGAGCATGTTCTTCGGAGCACTTTTAATATAATTTATTATTGGATTCTAGTAATAGAGAGTTCAGATTCATGCCAGTAGGTGCATGACTTCAGGCATATTATCTAATCTTCACCTCATGATGCTCACCTGTAAAGTGGGAATAATAATAAACATTAAGAGGTTTAGTAAGGGTTAAATGCTGTATATAAAGCTCTTTGTACTATCTGTCACTCACAGAAGCTATTAAAAGCTGATGCTCAAAAAAGAAAATTGTTGGACATTTTAACTTGTTATGTATAGATGTTTCTTTCTGTGTCCAACAGACACATGGGAGGCTCAGCACCACCAGACAGCAGCTGGAAAGGAAGTCTCCAAGTGCCCTACAACGTGGGACCTGGCTTTACTGGAAACTTTTCTACACAGCTAAGAGATTTTAATTCTCTTACATGGACCCTTTAAAAAAATTATGATAGATACTGTAAAATTTGCCTAGTTCTAGCAGGAAACAGAACCAGAAGTTGAAGAGGGCAGTTATTTCAGATCATTAAAACTGGCCAGTGTAGATTTTGCTTTTGTACATTAGAAATTTTTTAAGCAGCGATGGGAAATTTCAAAACGTGTGCTGCTAATCTCTTAGCTAATATGTTGATGTATGTGTCCTTTATGTCTGCATTAGGAAAGTCAGGATGCACATCCATTCCAGCAGTGAAGTAACCAGAATTTACAACGTGATCGGTACCCTCAGAGGAGCAGTGGAACCAGGTAAGTGAATCATGGGCTCAGCAAATACTGATTGAGCTAGGGATATGTGCCGTGTACTGCTCTAAGCTCTGCAGTGCAAGGGGAACGCAGAAAAGCACATCTTTGCCTTCACAAATCTACCTAAGCCCAAAATAGATAAATATTACTTATTATTGTATTGTTATGCATGTTGTAAAAAAAAGGAAAGTGAATGTTTGTGCAAGGTTGGGCATGTGACCAAGGTGAGTGCTAACTGTGTGTTTCAGTTGAAGGGTCAAGGGAAGGTGAGCAAGGAGAGAGAGTTTTGAGGTATTTTCTCTGAACTTTCTGGTTTTGTTTAGCGTATACTTTGCATAATGACATATCTTCATGGTGGCTATAGCTATCTGTACAAGAAATAGCACTCAGAAAATTAAGGTAAACTTGAATTAAGGAATTCTTTATACAATTTTATTTTATACACTATAGTTGATAATATATAGACACATAATTTTTGTGTGATTTTGGATGACATGCAGATTAATAAATTTTATATGTGGTCTTCACTGTGTTTCTGTGTCTGAAGAACTAGTTGATTATATGTCTTCCCAAATCGGATACAATTAAATTGCCTGTTACTTACGGCATATACATTCATTTAAGAATCAAGAATAACCTTACAGTGATGGTTGAACAATATGTAACCAGACCTTTATGCTTACTGGTGTAGGACCGCTGTGCTAAACATTGGGAGCACTGGGATTTTAAGAAACCTGGGACAAATGGACAAAACTCACAGTTTGGCAATGGACCCCACATAAATGTGAAAAGATCTGGAGAAATCTGAGATCTGACCAGGCAGAACAATTCTCCTGTCCCATAGAAGACAGAGAAAAGTTCATAGAGGGGGAGAAGTTTTTGATCTGTACCTTGAAAATCAAATCAGAGTGGGAAGTGGTGAACTCTGTTCTCTTCCTCTGAAACACAGGAAACAGCGTGTGAGGGGTGAAGAGCCAGGTTAGGGTAATTTCATACTTTCCTGCAATTACTTCTGTGCTTAGTCTTGAAGTATAATTCTCCTGTAGGACTTTCATGCTTTCTGCAGATGGAGGAAACATACCAACATCAGAGCCAAATGATAAGTTGGAAGAAGCCTTCAGGAACCTTGTTGTTTTCCTTGGGTTCTGAGTCCTGTGTGTTGAGACATTTGCAGTTTGTGAGGTGATTAACCCAGAATAACGGGTAATCGTAACATGTTGCTTTTCAGATCGGTATGTCATCCTTGGGGGCCACCGGGACTCGTGGGTGTTTGGCGGCATTGACCCTCAGAGCGGAGCTGCTGTGGTTCATGAAATCGTGAGAAGCTTTGGGACACTGAAAAAGGAAGGTAATAAAAACGAAGAGGAAAGACTTCCTTTTGAGTCTCAATTTCCTCTTCTGTAAAGTGAGTCTAAAAATACCACTTCAGCCATTACCAGGTACTGGTGAAAATATCCACACACGCATTAATGTCAGTTAATTACATTGTGTACTTATTTTTCACTTATAGAATATTTGTATTTTGGTGTGTATATATTAAGGTATAATCTGAAATAAAGGAATGAAGGAATTAGGTGTTTTAACTAACCGTGAAGATGAAAGCGAGAGGGGCCACAGCCCAGCAGTTGAAGCCCACGCTGCCCGCAGAGTCCACTCCCCAGCTCCTCTGGCCCCATTTTCTGTCCTCTTTACAACATCGATTCATTCATTTTAGAATCTCCATATAAAAACCGAAATAAAAACTTAGTTCATATGATTACCTGTTGAAATGATTATTACACAGTGAGAGCAGAAAATCCATTCTCTTTACTGATTCTGTAAACAAGGTTTTGGGAACTATAAAATGTAAGCCATATATTTTTGAGCAACCATAAAAAGGGTAAAAACGTCTTTAGTTTATTTGATAGTCATTTTCATAGGAAAACACAATGTTTGCATGTGTGAACTATTTTGAAATCACAGCAAGCAGAGAAAGATCTATCTAGTTATTTCTGCTCTCATTTTAAGGATAAGTTAAGCAAGATGCAGCAAATTAAGTGATTTTCCCGGGGTTATGTAAGTCCTCATACTGTCTGACAGAGTGAGAAAATAGATTTCACACTGTAATGTATAGCTGCCAGTCCACAAAAACCTGTCACCTCTGTTTAAAATAAAATGTAGAAGACTGGGCGTGGTGGCACAGGCCTGTAATCCCAGCCTCTAACAACCGAGGTAGGAAGATCGTTGCGAGTTCAAGACCTGCCTGGGTTGCAAAGTGAGCTCAAGGCCAGCCTGAGCTTCAGACCCTATTTCAAGAAGACAAAATAAAGTAAAATACAGAGTGTCTATCATTTTTTGCTTACAAAACTGTCATAAGAAACCAAAGAATTAGCGATCTAAATTTATATACTCATGAGTTAGGTACTATTTAGTCTTACTAAAAAAAGTTTTATGATATTTCAAGAAAATTCCTGTGAAAAACGCAAACCATCACTATAGTGGTATAGAGTAGGTTATAGGAATGAAATGATGAGGAAAATTATATAGGAAATTTGAATAGTGCATTAAGAAATATCACAGAAGTGAAACCCTGGGTCAACAGCTATAGTATAAATATTCTTAATAAACACACTTAAGACTTTTTTTAACATAATGACAACTAAAAATTTTTGAAGCATTTATTAATGCTTTAGAAGCAGTATTTTCCATTTAATCTTCCCAGTAGTCAAATGATGTCTTCTCCTTCCCTCTGTTATTTTTCCTATACTGGGAAGAAACAGAGACTGAGTCTGAGTAAGTTCCCTCTCTCTGCTAGTAGGTGAGAAAACCAGAACAAGATCTTTCTTTAACTAGGCCAGTATTTTTAATTTCCAAGTCATATGACTTCCCTCATGAATATTCAGTTTCCCATAGCAGCCAGCATTGCCGTTGCTAACTAAATCCCAGTGGCTACCTTTGTCAAAGAAGAAGATGAAATCACACGACCCGTTCCACTGAGCAGCTGTTCACAAAGTATCAGAAAGGGAGCGGTCTGCAGGGTTTCTCCCAGCTGGCTTACTACCCTAACACTGGCAGCACCTGCTGATGTCATCTTTCACGTTAGGCAGATGTCGCCCTGGTGGCTTCTGCTGCAGTCAATCGGAGTAAACCTGCTATTGGAATATCTTAGGACCTTGCAAGATTTTCCTGTGTCTACATTTTCCTCTTTTTAATACAATCATGCAGTTTTCTTTTGAAAGTTCACCTTTAAAGTCTTTCAAAAAAGAAATTTGTAAGTTTTTTGTTTTGTTTTACCACAATTCATGCTTCTAGCCAACAAATGAAATTCTTGTTTTTATTTTCTCACCCATTTAGGCTTCAAAAACGTCTTGTGTTTATTATGCATTTTCCAGCACTTACGTGTTTGTATATGTATCCATATATTTTAGGATGGAGGCCTAGAAGAACAATTTTGTTTGCAAGCTGGGATGCAGAAGAATATGGTCTTCTTGGTTCTACTGAGTGGGCAGAGGCAAGTTGGTAATTCCCTACAAATTTCCCTAATACCAAATAAAAAACAAAAGGAAAAGAAAAACCATGTTAGGACCTTACTGTCAGTCATATGAAAAAATGCAATGAAAAAACGTTCAAAGTTTTTTCCAAAAACATTTGAAGCAGCATAAAGTTGTTCAGAAGTCAACAAGAAAAATCATCTCATCTAAAGAACTAAGTTTGTTTTGAACATTTTTAGAGATGCAATGCCAACTGTTAAACTTAACTTATCTTCCTGGGCATGGTGGTATATGTCTGTAATTCCAGCACACCAGAGGCTGAGGCAGGAGGATCACCATGAGTTTAAGACCAGCCTGGGCTACATAGTGAGTTCAAGGACAACCTGAACTATATATAGTAAGACTGTGTCTCATAAAATTTAAATAGATAATGAAAATAAAATTAATTTATCTTTATTTTATAGGAGTTTCATAATAAATAGATATGCTAGAAGCCAAACAACAGTCCATGCTTGGTTTCTATCATGATTCTGTTGTGCTTGGAAAATTGTTGCAAATACTAACCATCCTTAAATGCCCCTTTGGCTTGTACAGTAAATTATATAATTTTCACAAATACAGTAGCTTATAATGATCCACTAGATATTAAATAATGTTAAAAGTGAGGCAAAATGTCCCATCTCACCATATTTAGTATATCCTTGAATAGTAATTTTATCTGCGTTTATTATAGCTTTACGTAATAGAAGTGTAAGATATAAAGTAAGTATATGTGCTGTGTATACCTGCTTGGCTCCTATTATGGTCCAGATGTTATATAAAACTTCTTAAATTTCAAGTTTCTTTGAGAAAGATAGTGCTCCAGTAGACCTAGCTGTAGCTTTTACGAACAAAATGCATGCTGGTGTCAGGAAGAGCCTATTTTCAGGGTGTGATTTGTTTCTTTCAAGTTATTTATATCGTTAAGGATTGAATATTGTTTTCCATTTTTATCTCACAGTAAGAATCCTTAGGAAATTACATGTTTTGGAGAATCAAAATCTTGATATCTCAAAAATAAGTTGCTACATTTGTTGTGTTGTAAAAAGATGCAGTTATCAATTGTAACCAGTAGGTGGCGGTATCCTACAAGAGAATTTGATCACATTCCTATGATTTAACTTCATTAATTTTTCAGCCTTTGACTTTCAAATAGCTTGTTCCTTGTGAAGCTAGCAAGGTTTTCTGCTGAAAATAATGATATGTTTGAGGGTAGATTTCCACTTAAAAGTCTCTTACAGCATTCGCATTTGTTGAGTGAATGTTTTGAAGGGCAAAATACAATGCAGTTAAAAAATTTCATTCCTTTTCCCTTTGCTACCTATAGGTGGATAGTTTTATGTTAAATGTGAGTTTAAAAAGTCTTGCTTATTGTTTAGCACTAGTAATATGTATGGGAATTTTTCATATCGACTCTCTTGTGAATCCTGTGTGTCAAATTTGAGGTTCATATGAGCCAGCTTAATTTAGAACATTGCATGCAATAATTATAGATTCTGCAGAAACATGAATATAGGTTTATAGTTGTTTTGTCTTTTTATTATAGGAGAATTCCAGGCTCCTTCAGGAACGTGGTGTGGCTTATATTAATGCTGATTCTTCTATAGAAGGTAAATATTATTGGCTTCATTTAAAAAACATGGTCATGTTAGAAGCAGCCGTTTCATTAGTAAGCCAGGTCCTCGCAGAGGAGGTAACCCCTTAATTTGTCATCAGGGAATCTGCTGCCATCTTTGACTGAGCTGTGCATAAGCACTAGAAGAATTTTTCTTTGTTTTTGTTCTTTGAAATTATCTATTTGCTTTTCACTGCAGAAAGCTGATTCAGGAAAGCAGCATTTCTTTGATTAGTGAACACTTGTTGAATAAAGTCATTAACTTAAGAGTTTTATGATTCAGAATGGAATATTTGTAAGTATCCTTTGAATTTAAGACTCATCATGATATCACGTATGCCAATTTTGTAAAAAATACTGATTTCCAAGATTTCATCTTTCACCAAATGTTTTTAGTTTTGCATTTTTCTTTAATTTAACCAATAATCACTGAGTACATCTTCGGCAATGTACTTTTCCAAGCATTTGGGGGAGTCAGTGGTTATCAAAGAATGTTCTGAAATTTGGATTTTATGCTTCAGCACAGATAGTAAAATGTATCAGTCCTGGATTACAGTCTGTGCAGGCACTGTAAGAGGGATTTAATCAAACCGCTCTGGGATTTCAGAGGCGAGAATAAGAGCATCTTCAGGCAATGGATGGCAACTGATGGAAAAGAGAAGGAATGTGGCTTTCGTAAGCAGAAGGTTAGACTAACGGCTCTGTTGGGTCGGTTTCCACTAAAATGGAACAGAGCTTGTCACTGCACCCCGGCCTCATGACGCTTTTCTGTTCCTCGGTGCTATGCAGCATTTGAGGTGTTACCGCCCGCCGTTCTCTGCACTCAGGTTAATCTGTGGTACACCCTTCAGTTTGATTCTTCCCATCCTTGAAATGTTAGCAGTCAGCAAAGCTGTAACTTTGTGGCACTCATTACTTACATTAAATCAGTATTTGTTTTACAAACTGCCTGCCTTGTTAAACTGTAACCTTTATCAAGGAACAAGCAGTATTTTGGTTTCCGCCCCTGGGTTATTTCTCTCTCATTAAGAAAGTATCTACGGCATGGATGTAAAAAAATGGAAGAATAAACAAAATGAAGTTGTTAAAATTATTTTCTTTGGAGCATTAGAAGTATATTCGTGTCAACTTACTGGCGTAAATTTGGAGTCAGCTCAGCATGTACATTTTTTTCTTTGCCATTCTAAGCCACGCTGTCTCTGGAGTGAGTTTACACAGCGCGTTTCAGTTCTGCTACTCCTTAGATTGGGCTGATGGCCCAGGCGTTTGCGTTACGTTGCCTGTGCTTATTGCTGGCCCTGCTGTTTCCCACTTGTGTGACTTCTGTCACCTCTGCAGTCACCAGGAGCACTTACCTGAGAGACTGTTGTAAGGACAAAAAAGGTTTGTATTTGCAGTGCTCCCAGTCCTTTGCTTTGTGCAGAGTAAGTGTTCATCTTTCTGGTTATGTTACTCCTATTTAAACTAACTAATCAGATGGATCGTGTACGCTCCACAGCCTCGGTGGTGAACTGTGGCTCACATGCTGCAGCTGGCACACGAACCACACTGCGATGACATCACGGGTTGCCTGAGATGTTTTTTCTAAACTAAAATGTCATTGTGCTGGTTTAGTTGTGGTGGTGGCACTTTGTGATAAGCAAGTGGGTTTTAGGTTAGAGTTTGGGCACTTGGTCTGTAAAAGGTTCTCCATCATGGCCCTGCAGCATAAATACTCGGAATGTTTTTTTTTTTTTTTTTTTTTTTTTTTTTGAGAAAAGAGGAATATTCTCAGTATTGTTAGCTGTAAAGAATTGACATTTCATGCAGTTTTAAAAATCGCTGAGTTTACCTTTTTATGTCATCACCCAGAACTGTGTCCTCACAATTTGCAGAATGAAAAAACAAAATGTCACGTACTGTATGATTGGGACACCATTTGCCTCACTTTGTTTTATGTTTTAGAAAAATTGTTAAATATCCTTTCTCAGTACAATATGTAATCACTCTTTAACGTCTTACATTAGAAAATTTACAAGTAAAATACTCCCTACAGAAACCATTCTTAAACCCTTCTCTAATAGGGAGTAAGTCCTACTGTGGTCTTCAGCTTGTGGTGTTTCCCCAGGTTGATACTCGGATTCACGATTTAGCTCACACAATGTGCCAGCAGTATAGTGGTTACCATCTTAAATGTTTTACCTATTAAATTTTCTTTAGCATTCATAATTTCCCTGTGAGGTTAAGTGTTTTTATTATCTGCATTGTATTTAAAAGGAAACAGACTCAGAGAGATTAAGCAACTGTCCCTAGGCCACACATCTGGCAAGGGTCCAGCTTACATTCTGAACTAGTCGGTCTCAACTTTATCCTTGTAAGTTTTACATGCCATTGCTCTTGCTACCTCGTGTAGGTGTTTGGTACCATGTTACAGCTAAATAGTTGTACAGCTTCTGTTTCCTTCAGTGGTCTTTGTAGACATGTTGTACAATACCTGCCTTATCCGTGATCCCCAGTGATCTACTTCACTTACAAAGCAAAACAAGCTGAGCACAATGAACACAGCTCTAATTCCAGCTGCTCACAACACTGAGGCAGGAGGATGGCAGACTTGAGCCTAGTATGAGCAAATTAGTGAGATCCTGTCTCAAAATAAGAACATTAAAAGGGATGAGATTAGCTCAATGTCACTGATTTCAATTACCAGTACTGGGAGAAAAAAAAAAAAAAAAAACTAAAATGAAAACACAAACAAAGGCTTGACGGACTTCTGCAGGATATTCTGTAGCCCAAATATGAGGCAATTCTCTATTTCATTTTTCTCCAGTAAATATAGTTTTATTTTCATATCTCAATGTCTCAATCTGTGTAAGGTAAGAGGAGGATACAGAGCTACAAGTATAATTGTGTGATCCTAGAATATATGCACTTAAATTGTAATAAATACTGCCAAAGTACTCCCCTGTCGGTTTACACTCTTAAAGGCAAGTCTTTCATTTCTTATTAGTACATGTTTATAAGACATAATGATTGCATTCGCCGTGGGAAGGTGGTGCATGTATCTAACACATCTTAATTCTTTTTTCTCTGTCTTCTTCCCCTGTCCGCCTTCTCCTCGCCTGCTCTTGAAGGAGCACTTCTGTATTTACACAGCTACTTGTTGGTATTTATTTTTCCAGGTGAATTTTTGAATTCGAAAATCACCTTTCCAAATTCTATAACTTGGGTTGTGATTATTTTTAAAGCCTCATCTTCGGCTTTTTCCAGATACGGTTGTTAGCTTTGGGTTAGGTGACTTGGCATCCTCTGAGTGAGTCCTATGCTTGTGCCATTTCTGCACATTGGTATGGAGGCCTTGTCCATAGCTGGGAGTGCCGTTGCTGTTTGCACCAAGCTGCCAAAACCTTTGGGTTCTTGGAGACTCAGACTTAACTAAAGGCTTGTGATGCCCCCCGCCAGTGTCCCAGAGGCAGCAGCTGCCACCCCCACCCCCTGCTTCCCTCCACAGGCTGCAGGGCTCCAAGATGCTTCTCTGCACCCAGCAGCCCTGCCCTCCTGAGGTGTAGGAGGTGTCCTTTCTACTCTCTCCTGAACCAGCTAGAGAGCAGCTGCCTCACAAATTCTTTTTTACAAGGGATACACTATCGGGTCCTGACCTAGATCCCCGATCTCCCAAATGAGTGTACAGTGGAGGCTTAAATACATTGAGACAAGTTATATGATTTTAGGGCTCCAGGAGGGTCAAAACCCGTTAGCTGAGCTCGAGACTCTGAGGGTTAAGACAAAGACATCCTGGATCAGCCCACTTTTATTAGGACCAAGCACAAAAGTTGGGGAAACTGAGGAAAGCACGGGAAATGAGCAGGACCTTGGGAGTCATTTCAAAGACTTCTCCAAGTAGTAAATTACAGCAATTTAGGAGAACTGTTCTATCTCCAAGTTGACATTTATGGTAGGAGTGTGACTGCAGGAGTGAAATTCCTTCGCTGCAATCTCTATTTACTTAGTTAGTGTTGGAGCCAAGGTGTCTTCAGCTGTGGCCTTATCTTGCCCTCTGAAGTATCTCTGGCCTCACAGGCCACTGCAGGCCTCAGCCAGGACCAGTGATTCATAGAGGTTCACTTACTATGAATCAACTCCCGTCGCCAAGGCCTAGAACAGACGCACAGATAAACATAGAAAGCTAATTAGTAAAATTTAAATCCTACTCAGAGCCACTTCGTAGTGGTCTCCAACAATACATCAAGTCCCCCACTTAGGAGCATTCTAGCTGTTTCACAGATGCAAATGGACTTCCAGTTACAACACTCACAAATCGTGGAAGTAGCTCGTGTGTCTGCTGGGTGTTGTCAGGGTTTGTGCTTCTGTGCTTACTGTACCGTGTGATGGGGTACTGTTGTAGATTTACTGTATTTGGGTGTGTGCATTTGGTTTTTTTGTGCTGTACATTGTATGTTTGTATGTGAGGTATAAGCCTCACTTTGTGGAACTTAGGAGGGAATCCGATTTGTGAACTTTCTGCCAGAGCGGAACTTATTCATAAATCAGGGACTTCATGTACTTCCTGGGTAAATGCTAAATACTGAAACTGTTGTAAACATGGGAAGGACATGGTGGCGAATAAAAGACAGCACCCGCTCCATGAAACTTACAGACTTGTAGAAGGACTAATAACAAGACAATAAGTATTTAATGTATTAGATAGACGAGTAATGTGGAGAAAAATAGACCAAGGATTAGAGAAGGAAGTAGCCAGGCTAGGGCATAGAGATTGTGCCATTTCATGTAGCATGGTCAGGGGAAGTATCTCAGAAAACGTGAAACCAAAGAAGCAGTAAGTTATGCAAAATGAGGAAACTATGTGCAAAGATCCCAAGGAGGTATATTTGGGCAGAACGGGAGATAAAGATTTGGAGAGATGAAGTGATTGTTTCACATCTGACACTGCAGGCCGTGGTGAAGATCATGGATTTCACAGCGTGAGATGGGAACACTTGGAGTTTAATTAAATTTAGGTTTTAAAAGGATCGTTCTGCCTAGGGAGTTAGCAGTGGTCTTAGAATAACAAAATGTAACAATAAAAAACAATTCTATTTTTTCCTTATCTTTCAGGAAACTACACTCTAAGGGTTGATTGTACACCACTGATGTACAGCTTGGTATACAATCTAACAAAAGAGGTAAAAATAATTACATATAAGAAAATCTGTGTTCTACAAGTGATGCTTTCTTGAGATGTCACTACTTTTGTTAACACTGATGGTCTTTTAGAACGTGTGGTCTTTTTCATGTAACAAATATCCATGGAACATCACCTCAGCTTGTTTATGTACACCGCTTCCTCTCTTCCCACACAGCGAGGCAGCCTGCGGATAGTACTGTGTCTGCCGTCCCCCACTTAAAAATAAGGAGACCAAGCTCAAAAAATACTAGTTGCTAAAGTTACACAGCTTGTTCTGTAGCTGAACCAATTCATGGTCCTGCAGTCTAACTCTTTAATTTCATAACTGCATTATATTCATTGATTCCAAATAACTCAGACCAATGCACAAAAATAGCCAAATGTTCTAAATGAGAGTATGCATAAAAATACTGCCAGTTCATCTTGCCAATTTGGCTGAATTAAGAGACTCCTGGAGTGGTTATTGTCTTAGGGGCACTGCACTCATGAGGAGATTAATCTACCAGTGTTCATAGCTGAGGGGAAGCCCAGTCTGAGATGGATCACAAGGGAGTGCGCTTCTGGTGGGGGTATCTCCTGTTAGGCTTCTGCTTCCTGATCACCATAAGGAGAGCAGCTTAGCTGCACGACACCCTTCCACCATGATGTTCCCGCCTTGGAGCCAGCAGCCATGGACTGAAACCTCTGATACCGTGAGCCAAAATAAATTTCTCCTCCTTAAAATTGTGAGAGACAGATGTTTCATCAAAGCTAGAATAAAGCTGACGAATGGAAACACCAAATCATTTGGGGGCAGAAATTAGGTGAGGTCTTACTCTTCCTTTCCAGACTTACGCCTTGGACTGCAGTCATCCAGCCCCACTGAGGCTGGCAAAACATTTCATTGTTAATCTTGATCCTCTCAACAGCAGAAGGCATGGAACATGGCTGAGAGGTTATACATCAGTTCCTGTAGAATAGCATCTCTTCACTTTAATTCTTCATATTCCAACTCCGTTGTTCCTAATCCAGGTTAGCCAAAACTAAGGAGTTTTTGCATGCCAGATTTTTTTTTACTACTAATTAAGTGAAAGTGACTTGAACTAAAACGAAAAACAGCAGAAAAACCATTAATTAGAATTACCAGTTAAAGGCTGGGCACGGTGGTGCACACCTGTAATCCCAGCACTTGGGAAGCTAAGACAGCAGGATTGTTATAAGTTTGTACCATCATGGGCTACAAAGTGAGCTCAAGGCCAGCCTGAACTGGATAGCAAGATGCTGTCTCAAAAAAAAATAAAACCAACTAAACAAAAAGAATTACCAACTAAGTGTAATTTCCAGTAACAAATTAAAGTGCTTCAGAAAAAGATTGTAAATAAAACATGCATATTATTAAGCTGCGGTTTCAAAAGCAGAGAATTAATTAAATATTTTCTCACATTGGAATGGACAATTTTAATTAATTTGAAAACATGTACTTACTAGTAATTTGAGAGATCCATCATTTTCCTGCAGTTTTATCAATCACTATGTAACATAAAACTTTAAATATATGAATCCATGCTATTTCAGAGAATTACCACAATTCAGGTAATTTAGAATAAACGCTGAGAGAGCTTAGCAGTTATTGTTTACCAGTTGATTTGGTAGCATCCTGTTAAAATTGGTGAAATTTCTCAAGGTCAGACTTGAAATACATGATGCTGGAAGTTTTTTGTTTCATTTTTTATTTTAGAAAAATGATGTGCAGTTTTTTTAAGTTTTGCTGATAAGTTGAAATTTTAGTATATATTTGAAAGGTACATTTCTTATTTCAAAGGTACATTTCTTAGTAAAGTGTATTGTCCATGATAGCAAAGATTTGTGTAAATTTATAAACTTGAGTGAAGTATTATTTCTTTTTATTCATATTTTATAAGCTAAGAAGTTGGCATAAGTTCCAGTTTCCAACTCTCTTCACGCCCTGCAAATTTAACTTCTGTCTCTGTAAACATTTTTAGATACATCTGTTACAGCACATAGCACATTGGTTTCCACATTTTGTGCTGAACATTATATGTGTCTTACTGACGGACTTTGTATCCTTGGCATCAGCAAAAAAGCCCCTTAAATAGTGTAGGTACTCTTCAAACTTTTTGAATTGAATTTGATCAAAAATATTACATTTCACTTACTAAATTTTCATATCTAATTTATTTCTTAAAACATTTCATACCATACATTATCTAATTTTGCTAAATAGTTTTGGTACATAGAATACTGAATCTAGAATTCAATAATTAGTTACTTTGCTTCTTCAGTATTTTCTCTATGAAACCATAAAATGGATTTAAAGCCATGTGATTAACACAGTTAGAACAGATAACCACTTATTTAAGGAAAATATTAATTACAATGCATATTACTATGCATTATTTAAGGAATTTGACAGTCTTACTGTCAAGAAGCAGTATAAAAGAACTATCTTGCCTTAACCAGCTTGGTTCTTTTATTTCATTTTTTATGGAAAGCAGAAACATGTCTATAAAAGGAGTACCCTTCATTTTAGGAAACTGCACATATACAATCATAAATATGACTAACATTTCTGAAGACAATGGTTCAGTAATGTTGTGCCTCATGTTCGTTCCTTTCTTTTCTTTTTCTGATTTTTCCCTGAGGCTGGGAATGGAGCCCAGGGCTTTGCACATATTTGCCAAGTACTCACTGAACCATACATAGTTCTTAACTGACAGCTGATAACAGAGATCACATCTTCTGTCGTGCTGCTCTGCAGTGTAGCTGTTTACTCCGTTTAATGGACACTGGAGTTTGAATACTTCTGATATGTAAGGGTTCTCTTCCCTTTTTGATGTGTGCAGCTGCAGAGCCCCGATGAAGGCTTCGAAGGCAAGTCTCTTTATGAGAGCTGGAGTGAGAAAAGTCCTTCCCATGAGCTCAGTGGCGTACCCAGGTAAACACCCACTCACACTTTCTACTGAATTTCATTGTTGGGTGGAGTGGCTCTGAAAATAAAAATATTTTCTTTCAATCATTTATAAAATTTCAAAAAGATTCAAAATCTGCTAAAGTAAATTCAAACCTAGTTAAATCAATAGTCAAAAAACAAAAGATTCTCGTTACAATAATACTTACGATGTATGATAAAAAATACAGTGACTGTTTCAGTGTCCTAACAAATTATCAGTGTATAAGACACATCACCATTAATCTCCCTCCAAATACTCTGCCTCACCTGGGGCCCCTTCTTCTGGCATTCTTGCCACTGGTTCTGAAGCAGTTTTGAAAATCCTGTTTCTTGAGTGTTTTTAGTTTCACTGCCTGGCTGCCTTAATGTCCGAATCAGTTGAAAATGCTTACCTTTTGTGGTCATTGTAACTTCTGGGACGAGCCAGAAGTTGCCTGGTGAACTGAGCGGATGAGGACACACTGGTGTCTTTAGGGCGTGCCTTCCTGTCGGATGGTGCTCAGCAGCAGCACTTGCTGTGTTTTTTTTTGTCACATCTCATGGAAAGAGGACTTCCGATCTGTTTCACAATGTGGCAAGAATGAAAGGACAGTGGGACAAGGATGCTCTGAGGAGGGGGACAGTTTTGAGGCATACTAGTGACATTATGTCTTTTAGAGTAATCTTTACTTAAACCCACACTGAATTCTTTAATCATTTTATACTTTGTGTACTTTTAAAAATTTATAATGGAGATAATGATGATGCCCATTACATTGCTGTCACATTGTCATTGTATGGTTATTCTTTTTTGCTTAACATAGAGTTAAAATGTTATTCTAATAATATGAGCATCATTCAGCAAAAGATGAGGCACAAATATCTCAGTAGTTTATAAATGTAGTTATCAATAGTATGAATAATTTGAATTATTTAAAAGAGTTTATCTCTATATTATTTGAAAAAAGATTGCTTTTCACTTTATAACATACAACAAAGATAGATGATACGTAGAATGAATTAATCTGAAGGAAAACATTTTCCAACTTTAGGAATATTCTTTAACATATGACATAAAACAGTCACCTCACAGAATAGTTACAGAGAAGTGACTCTTTTGTACTTGATGAAAAACTTATTCTGAAATAATTCTGTTCTTTTATTCCTTAAGGATTAGCAAACTGGGGTCTGGTAATGATTTTGAAGTGTTCTTCCAGAGACTTGGAATTGCTTCCGGCAGAGCACGCTATACTAAAAATTGGGTGAGTCTATTTCTTTCTTTCTTTTTTTTTTTTTTTTTTTTTTTTTTGTCTTTTTCCTTTTTATCAGTACCGAGGATCGAACTCACGACTGCCTGCTTGCAAGGCAGGAGCTTACGCCGCTGAGCTAAATCCCCAGCCCCAGGTGAATCTATTTCAATAAATTCTTCAAAATTATGAATCCATTTGAACTATATAAAGAAGTTACTTCAAAAAGTGGCTCACTCGCTAGCATAATAGAAGACTTTGAAAGCAGAAGGAAGATGCTTTTGTGGTTAGTGGTCTTAATACTACATAGAATTGTTCCTGCATATGGTGTCTTAAGCCCATAATTCAAATGCCACTTGCCACCAATACCCCTGCCTACAACTTTTAACTTTTTTTTATTGTTTCTGAGTTATTTGGTGGCATTACATCCACTCAGTCATTTAAGTTAGAAATACAGAATTATTTTGACTTTTATCATTCAAAATCAATCTATGTAAGATCTGAAAATATATGGATGTTTATCTCTTCTTATAGATCCATTCATTAAAACATTCACACATGGTTAAATATCAAGTGAAATAATGCACAAGAAACACTTAAAAGTGATGAGGGTTTTTGATGTGTTCGTGTTGATGATTTTAGGTTTCATTTACGTCAAAGTACCATAAATACATGGTTTCTAAAATCTCGAGCAGTTTTATAACAGCTTATAACTAAAAACAGTGGTTTCTTACCTCATTTCAATATCACATACCTGATGTCCAATCATCAGATGCAGTCTTGCAGTTTTGGGTTTTTTTTTAATTGATACCTACCTACCTCCATGTTTATAAACAGTAGTTCATAGTATTATTTACTATGTTTTGTATGTGATTTTGTGTTAAGGAGTATTCTGGTACTCATTTTATGAGAGGGAGACTTTATTCAAGACCATTGCACCTCAGTATATTGCAGTAGGGAGATGAGACTGAGCTCTTTGCAGATTTCCACTGAGCTCATGTCCCAGAAGAAAAGCAGGAATTTACAAACAATATTAAATATCTGTAGATCTTTCTTTGTCTAGTTATTTTTCTCAGACAGGAAATCCTTAACCTCCTGCCCTTGGGACATTAGGCAGCATTCCGTGGGGTGATAATAATAGATATTAATATTACCGCCATTTTCCTTATAAGAAAATTACAGCAAAGAAAGGTCAAGTGACCACCACAAGTTTTTGGTGTCAAATCTTTGGATTCAAACTGTGGCTGACTAACTGTAGAACATGTCTCTTCAGCACACCACTACATAAAGTGTTCTTTTGTATCAGCTACAAAAATAAGCAATTTGAAAAGTGATTAAAAGGCACAAATTAGGAACATGTGGTTTAATTTGATATGACTTTTATGCATGTTGCCGATTGTCCTCATTCCTATGTGAACATCCCTTCTCTCGCCTTGGTGAGAGTTTGGGTTCACTACTGAACCCCTAACTGCTCTTTCAACTCACTGTGCTTGGAGATGCATTAATGTACAGAATTTCCGTTGTTATTAAACACGTCGGCATACTTTCCTATGCAGTATTACATAATGCTTCCTTACTCTCACCCTGGCAATTTTCTGGCTTTCTAAAATTATTTTTCTTCAAATGCAGCACTTGAAGTGTTTCAGCCTTCACATTTCTCGTTTCTCCTTCTTGTGTGTGTGTGTGCATGTGTGTGTGGTATTTGGGTATTAAACCCGGGGCCCTTGGGTTGAGGCACATCCCCGGACGTACGGATAGCTTTTTTATTCTGAGATACAGTCGTTGCGCAAACTGGGCTCACACTTGTGATCCTCTTGCCTCAGCTTCCCAGAGTGCTAGGATTACAGACAGGTGGCTCTGCACTGGCTGGCTCTCATTAGTTAGCTTATTTACATATCTCCAAAATAATGTTTCAGTAATATCGTTTATACCATGTAGTTACGTACTTTATTTGGTACAAGCCTAGAATATATTATAGTACTATAATATTAGCCCTTTATTAAGTAACTTACTGATGTGCTCAAGTGTTTTTTCTTTATTCATCATTGATCAAATATTCTTACAGATAATACTAGTAAATACAGTGCTATGCATTTTGTTATAAGCTATCTTACGAAAGATGCGTTTGTGGTTTTTTTGTAGGAAACAAACAAATTCAGCAACTATCCTCTATACCATAGTGTCTATGAAACTTACGAGTTGGTGGAAAAATTTTATGATCCAACGTTTAAATACCACCTCACTGTGGCCCAGGTTCGAGGAGGGATGGTGTTTGAACTGGCCAATTCCGTAGTGCTCCCTTTCAATTGTCAAGATTATGCTGTAGTTTTAAAAAAATACGCTGACAAAATCTACAATATTTCGATGAAATATCCACAGGAAATGAAAACATACAGTGTATCATTTGGTATGTTACACTTCCTCTTTGAAATTTGTTATTTGTATGTTCCCATTAACTTCTAAAATGCAATAATGTACACTAGGTCATTTATTGTTTACTACTATTCTTCATGGCCAAATATTCTGTTTATGTCTCTGAATACATTCATAGAATATATATGTATATGGATACATCATAGATACTAACATATTGAAATACTCAAAATATAATGCTTTATAAAACACAAAAACTTGTCTACTTGTCTATTCCAATTTTTAAAACTAAAGAAAGATACTATTAGAACTTATGTTCTTAATTTTTGATGATTCCAATTTCTATTTCAGATTCGCTGTTTTCTGCAATAAACAATTTTACAGAAATAGCTTCTAAGTTCAACAAGCGACTTCAAAGCTTAGACAAAAGCAAGTATGTTCTGCATGTATGTATATCATAGATAATTAAAAGTTGACACCTTTATTGCCAAAATATCTTCAAATGAGATTCTGCTGGTTTCTGTCTTCCTCTGCCCCAGTGCACCCTCCACACGGGTGCTGCGTCCCTCCAAGACCTCTTTCTGAATTCTGAGTGGGAGTGTGCCAGTGAGAGGCACAGCACCTCCTCACTGCCAGTGAATGAGTGTCAGCATCCACCTCTTAACACTGAGCGCTCTCTGCTGTGTGACCCTGGCTGTTTCCACTTGTATTTCTTGCTCTTTCACTGTCTGTACAGCGTCCCTCAAATGATCTTACTCCTAGAGCGTATTGCGCTTTTTTTTTCCTCTTCTTGAAGTGGTTATTGCCGTATGGAAATACAGTGATACCTCGGCTCACAAACTTCTTTGCACCATTCTGGTTGCAAGCCAGTTGAAGGAGAACTGAATTTAATTTCCCAATAAACTCAGTGTTGAACCTAACTGTTAAATTTGATTCTGTGGTTGTCAAATTCAGTTTGTGATCAAAATTGTTCAAAGAATGAAGTTTCTGAGCTGAGGTACCATGTGCTGCACTCAGTGGTGCCCCCAGCTGGCAAAATTCAGCTTATCCAGAAGAGTAAATATTGTGAAGCCATTTGTTTTGGAAGTGCTAAGCATTTAGGATTCATTCTTTATAAAATCCTAACTATAAACCATGATTTGAACATAAGTTTAATGTAGAAGGGAAAAATATATCAGTACTAAGGAGATGTCAGTTTAATAGAAGCTGCCACAAGCTCTGTAATTGCTGTGGTAACCATAGATACCCAGGTCTCCAAAGAGTGCCCAAGGCGCCCATTGGCAGCCAGTTAAGCCCTTCCAGGCATGGCTTGACAGGATGACAGTTGTGACCTGAGGTCCAGCCACATGTTTGTGCAGTGGAGCTACACTCTTGGCTGGCAGGTCCAGGGCGGCAGAGGCTGTAAGCCAGCACTCAGACCTAGAGAGGAGCTTGAGTCTCCACTGGCCCCAGGCGGCTTTGGCTGACTAAAACAAAGTAAAAAGCACCTGTTGGGGGAGGGTCAGCCATCCTGTTCTGTCTCTTTAAGCATTTACGTCTTTCTTTACTGCAAATTGAACTCTGCTCCACATAAGGAACATACAAGGGTTTTGAAGTATAGCCACAGAATCAGAAATCCAGCAAGACAGACAGAGGCAGAGATGGAGAGATGTGAAGGGAGCAGGGAGAAGAGAGGGTTGGAGGTGGGGAAAGGAGACAAAGTTGCATGTGTGTGTTTGTGCATTTCCACGTATGTGTGTCGGCGTGAATTCTTGTTTCATAGCAATATTTGTGAATTTATCTTTCATTTAATCACCTCTTATTTATATGAGCTGCTAACAAATCTGGACTTCTTTCATACAATTACAAAAACTGGTAAATGATGCCAAATAAATACTTTTTGAAGATAGTTTACTTGAAAGGCTGAGGAAGAAAGATCACTGTGGGAAGGCCAACCTGGAGCACACAATGAGACCCTGTCTTAAAGAAATAGAAAAGAATATATGTAGCTCAAATCTAAATTGTAAGGTCTTTAGTTATTTCTGTTTTCATTTTGTCAACATAGTACACTGAAAGAAGAACATTTACCTTCTGTTTTACTCCAAAACTTTGTTTGTGAACTTGGGCCTGTTGATTAACAACCTGAACTTAGTTTATACAGTACAGCTCTTCCCCTGCAGCTTGTAGAATTGTTCTGAAGATAAAAATAACACATTGTATAGACCTTAGGAACAGTAGGTGATCACTGAGAGCTGTTACTAAAACTAACTTAAAAATTAAGATCTAGTTAATAAGCATATTCCTTATTTTAATAGTTATTTCTCATTAATTAGGCAGAGTTAGTATATTGAATTCAGTAAGTCATTGTTGAACTACTCAAGACTGGTTGACAGAAGTTCAATGATATCGTTATTCCTAGTATAATAACAGCTTCACCACTAGCCTCTGGAATTGAGTGAGCTCTGTGGGAATGTTTGAAACATTGCAGATACTTGAATATCATTGAAAGGATAAAGTAAATGCTTATGTTCATGACAAGTTTAAGAAGAAGAATATTAACTGTTTGTCTTTTGCGAACTGTTGGTAACTTTCCAGGAACCTAGTGAATATAATCACTGACTAATGAGATTAGTTCACAAAAGCATTAGTATTACTTATGATGTTATCAGGATCTCTTATATATAAATATCTGGGCTTATCAATTATTATTTCAGTACACCTAAAGTGGGTTATATTTTCCACTGCCACAGCACTGTTTTATAAAGCTCTGAAGAATAGTATTTTATAGGATTTTTAAAATTTGTATTTTAAATTTTTAAAATTTATAATTTAAATTATATATGCTCCTGTTATTTTTGCTGCTTTTTAGTTTGCTGAGTAGTATATAAATGTACGTGATGTTATAATCATTACATTTACTTTTTAGCCCCATACTATTGAGAATTATGAATGACCAACTGATGTTTCTGGAACGAGCATTCATTGATCCTTTAGGGTTACCAGACAGACCTTTCTATAGGTAAGGAAAAAAATAGTATCTAGTCATTCTAGTATCATTTTAAAATGTTTTTGCACTATAGAAAGTATATCATAGTTGATGTCCTTCACCCAAATAGAAAATTTAAAACTAAATGTAATAGGCAATAAATATATTTTATATAATATAATATGATCTACACACGTCTTTCTTTCTGGCATGTTGTTTTTCATCTCTGATTACAAAAGAAAATTTTTAAATTTAGAAGATTCAGAAAGACTCAGCAAGAAACACAAATTGCCCCAATCTCATCAGCTAAATATTGTCATTTTTATATTTTGATATTATTCAGTCTCCTATTTTAAATATATTGGTGTTTATTTGTAAATATAACAATAAATCTATATATGGATATGTGTAATAGGAAATATATGTTTATTCAGTCCTTCATTGCTAACATTTAAGGTTTCCCTCATAGATTTGTTTTTTAATCGGTACCAGGTATCAAACTCATGACTGCTTGCTTGCAAGGCAGGTGCTTATACCACTGAGCTAAATCCCCAGCCCCACCCTTGTAGATTTTTAAAAGTACATTTATACCTGACAGGTACCAACTGTTTTTGAATTGATTGTATAAGTGTTGCAAAATGAGAGCATCAAACAGCCCCGTCTTTCTGTGTAGGCAATACCAGAGGGCTGGTGTTGAGAGTAAGAAAGCTGTCATCCAGATGGGGTAACTGGTTTGCAAACAGCAGCGTTCCTGTGCCTCTGCACCTCTCTGATTTGCTACTTGTCCTCTTCAAGGGCTGGTATATGAACTTGCTTGCCCCTTCAATGGAGCAGCCTTTACCTAGATCATGTGGAATGTTACAGATTTATTTTAATGACTTTTCATGCTTTCAGCAAAGCACTGTAACATGTTCATATGCCTTTTTTCAAAAAGGAGATAAATTCAGTAGTAAGTTGGCTGGTTGCAAACAGGACTTAATGATCCCAGTGATACAGTCAGGAGGCGACTGATGTCAATACTTATCTGGAGGGCTCATTGCAGCAAATATTTTTTAACTTCTCAGACCTCAGTTTTCTCCTTTGTGAAATACTAATACCAACTTTGTAAAATTTATTACTGGGAATTTAAAAAATTGTAGCTGGCGATACAACTCAGCAGTAGAATGCTTTAATTCTTTGGCTAGCATACCCAAACCTGTGCTTAATATCCAGAGTGACCAAAAAAAAAAAAAAAGTTCAAAATTTATAATTTTTAAAATTCTTTTCTTTTTAAATAAGTTAATTCTTCCATGCTGAACATGATCAGTAGTGGGTAAACAGCTATTACTGTCATTAAACATTTGGATTATTTCTTTCATGTAAAAGTGTGATATGTGCTCATATGTTTTGGAGATTAGTGTACGTGGAAGTTTATATGACAAGTGGCTTATTCAAATCATAAATCAGGAATGTGCTATCCAGGATTCCAGAGTACTCTGGATTTCTCTTGTATATTGTTCATGCAACTAATTAACAGAAAGCTATTTTATTAACAGGCACATCATCTATGCTCCAAGCAGCCACAACAAGTATGCAGGGGAATCATTCCCAGGAATTTATGATGCTCTCTTTGATATTAAAAGCAAGACAGATCCTTCAAAGGCCTGGGCAGAAGTGAAGAGACAGATTTCTATTGCAGCCTTCACAGTGCAGGCTGCAGCAGGGACACTGAGAGAAGTAGCCTAGGAGAACACTGGAAAGAGGTCCTGCTGAATGGCTGTGATACACTGAAAAATAAAAGTGTGAGATTATAGGTATATATATGTGTGTCATAAGTATGCATGTGTAGACATATACTTTTTTCTTCTCATTGTAAACCATTCAAGAAAAATGGACAATTGTTATTGTATAGTTATAGAATGCATTCTGCAGTTGAAAAGTTGAACTCATGTTAAAACTAAGAACAGCTCCATCTAGCAATGCTTATCTATCACATCAGAACATCAAGTCTAATACAGCACTTCCAGATCTAACCATGTCACTGCACACGAGAAAAACACCAGTCCTGAGCACACTGTGTCAGGACACACACAGGGCAGCTCCCCCAGATGCCTAGGCCCTGGGGGACCTAGACACCCCAGCATGGGAGGATTTCTCCCCACCATACCTACTGGGAAGTTCTGAGCTAAACCCACTTCTAGTAAATGTAGCCACTTTATACTGTAAAGGACAATACTTTTTTATTATTTATTTAATCTGTTCATCTGTAGTACATAATGTTTATGTTTCTTGTGTAGAGTTTATGCATGTACACATTTTAATTCCTTTATTTGTTGCCCTTCCCTTCCCTTCCTCCCTTCCCCCTCCACTTATCTCTTGATCCCCTGCCTTTTTTAAGAAACATCTAGCCAGGTATTGTGACACACACCTATAATCCCAGCACTCCGGAGGCTGAGGCGAAAGGGTTGCTGAGTTTAAGGCCAGCCTGGGCTACATAATGAGTTCAGTGCCAGCCTGAACGGCATAGTGACACACTGTCTCAAACAAACAAACAAACAATATATAACATAAATAAATAGATAATGTAAAATAACAAAACGGACATTTGTAAACTAAATAGCCCTATTGAAAAAGGACCATTTTCAATTGTTGTTGATTTTCTTGTGCTACTGACTAGTGTGCTTCTTGTGCCAGAAATAATCAATTTCTTGAATTTTATATTTATTTCTTGTTTTTATGAATTTACCACACATGACTGTATCCCTTATGTTTCAGCTTTGTATATATTCTGATTTTATAATTAAACTCATACTATGTGCATCTTTTTCTGATACTTACGTTTGCCCATTCACATTTAAGGTTTCAGCCATGTATCTTTCTGTATCCCTCGTAACAAGCATTGCTGTGCCTGACAGTTACCCTTGTCAGTCAAGGTCCAGACAATTCTCTGTAGAGGTGAAAGATAAAAGAACCGGCCACAACACAGAGGGCTGAGCTACAACAGGCGGTGAAGAGCCGTCCCCACCGTGGGCCTCACTCGACAGCAGAGTTGCTGTGGGTCTGTGCTAGGAAAGCCTGCTGCACACCTTCTGGAGCCCCCTCGAAACTTGTCTTCTCACAACTGTGGAAAGTTGAATTGTTACACTTAAAAATAACATACATGATTAATAGGCAAAAAGGAAACTAGAAACAGTTTCGTTAAAGTCCATTCTGACACTTAGGATATTTTATCCAAGACATCTAAAAGTGTTCCAAAGACAGTGTTTCCTGTAAATTGGAGGATTCTATGGAACAGATTGGGAGCCCAGGTAATGAAGTAGTCTAGGTATTTTTAGTTTTTATTTGCGCCGTTGGGAAATTTTGAGCAGTCTTTCAGTCTAGACTTGTTGACAGTTAAGATTAACAAGCACATAAGACATCCACCTTGTTTTCCCCGAGTCAGAAAGGGTCTTTTCCTCCCAACCACTTCTCACTCTCCCCAAATGGGGTTTCTTGAGTATCTCTGAAAATACTTACAAGCAGAATCATTTTCAACTCTCTTCCTAGTGTTAGGAGCACTTGTATCCCAGACATATTAGGAAATACAGTTTGGAAGCTCAGTCTCAAGATAACTGCTATACTTGCAAATGTGCATTTAAAATCCACTTTTATAGACCTTGGGCTCCCACATTGAAGTTTGTGCTGTCCAGCATATTAGTGAGGCCAAGTTGAAGGACCCCAAAAGCAGAGTAAGAGTTGCCAGAGGGTGGGGGGAAGATAGATGGAAGTTAAACGTTAATGGATATTGAGTACCATTCTTGGAATGATAGAAATGTCCTATAAAAGACAATTAATGGTTGTACAACTCTATATACTTTTAAAAATCATGGAACATTTTAAAAAGTTATTTTTAGGATATGAAAATCTATCTCACCAAATACATTTTCAGAAAGGCCATTGCTGATAGGAGATTATAAATCTCTGTGCACACTGTGATCCTAGCTACTCCAGAGGCTAAAGCTAAAAAAGTGAAGGTCAGTCTGAGAAATTAAGCAAGACACTGTGCCAAAAGATACCTTTAAATGTCTGGGAGTGTACAATGTTAGAATGGATGTCTAACACCTGGGAGGCCGCAGATTCAATCCCCAGCACAGACAGAGAAAGTAAAGGAGAAAAGGGAACTGTGGGGTCTGTGCTGGTTAGCTAAGCACTTGGATAGTGAGTGAGGAAGATCACAAACTCGAGCCCAGCCCAGGCAACATAAAATAGGCGCCACTCACAGCGGAACCATGAAAACTGGGCTGGGAATGTAGCTCAGCACAATGCTCTCAGCTCAATTCCTAACACAGCCACAAAAGAATAAGAAATGAGATCCGTCATTTCTGGAAGAGAGCTTTTGTTGTTCTCTAAGAATCTCATTATTTCAAGTTATACACATGAATATGTAGACAAAATTCTCATGTGTATCTAATGCATGGCTTTAGAAAAAAGTACATGTCAGAATGCACTTCAGTCCTGTGTAGAAGTAGATGTAGGTTTCAGTGTCTACAATTTGGAAATATTCCAGATTTTCATGAATTTTCCTGACTTGTCTCAGTGCTAAAGCTCTTGCAAAGACTGGTTTAGAGCGACAAAAAGGAAATGAAAGATTGTGTAACTTCAGAAAAAAAAACCCATAAAACTAGTGAGAGAAAAAATATCCCTACCTCTTTGCTTATAACTCTGCATAGGTGCAGGAGCAGACAGCACCAGGCAAGATTTCTTATGTAGTTTCTTGTTGAAAACTTGCTTCGCGTATCTCTGATGAAGATTTATTTAATTACGGTTTATTCTTGGTTTTCTGAGACCATGTCTCATGATATGGTTCTGACTGGTTTTGAACTCACTGGGCAGCCCAGCCTGGCCTTGACCTCCCAATAATCCTGCCTCAGTTTAGAGTGTGAGTTTTATAGGCATACACCACCACACCCAAATCATGATGTCTTAAATTAACAGTTTGGTTTTTTAATGAAAATCAATTTGTAAATTGCAAACTGACTGGAATCAAGTTCCTCAAACTCTAAAACAAGCACAGTCTGTTTCTTCAATTTTCTCTGCATTGAAATTGGATATTTAAATTTTTTCTTCTGTTTAATGATAGCTTTTTTTCCTTTCTTGAGGAGTTAAAAATTACTGAATAATTACAATGAAAAAAAATTTGGCAGAGCAAACATTAACTAGTACAGTTTCACTTCCAGCATCCCTGGCCAGCCTGCCTGGCCAATGGCAAATTGTGACTCTGGAGGGCTTGGGTGGCTCCACCCCTCTGGTGCTGCCTGTGGTTGTAGCTCAGGGGTAATAGGGCTGCGAGAGGTATCCTCATTGTTGGTGTTAAGTAAAATCACAGACATCTTTCTGCACTAATATTTTGCTGGAGACACAATAAACAGACCAGATTCACAATCTAACTGGAAGGGCTGAGAACACAGCTCAGGGTGCAGCACTGGAAGAACTGAGTTTGACTCCTACACCACAAAACAATTTGAGATGGTGACACCTATCTAATGCCAGGTAACAGGTAGTTGTGTGGCAGTAGTATCACAAATTCAGAGAAATCCTTGAGAACCTCTCTCCAAGTCAAATAAAAATGGTTATTTAGGCAAAAATATTCTCATACATGTCTGAGTCCTGAAGGATGTAAAGATTAGCACTGGGGAGGCTGAGACAGGGGGATCATTGTGAGTCTGGCACCAGCCTGGGTTACAAAACAGAAAGAAGACAGAGAGAGAAACAGATGAAGAGAAGAGAAAAGAAAAGATATAAGGGTTTAGAAGTCTCTAAAAACATTATGGAGGGAAAAAATCAATACTTAGGTACCTCTCTGTAATCACTTCTCTCTGTGTCTCTGTCTCTCTGTGTCTGTGTTTTGTCTGTGTCTGTCTGTCTGTCCATCTATCTCTCTCTCTAGACACAAGTAGGTCATCCCAGACTGCCTGGCAACTCAATATCTCCCTGCCTCAGCCTCCTGGATTTACAGGTTTGCACACCATCCTTTCTTCAATAAAGTATCATATGTATTTACTAACAAAGTAATATGTTTTTATTTTCAAATAAAGTTTGTCTAAGGATAATAAGGTTAAAATTGTCTTACTTTGCTTTGCTTTGCTCTTCTGTATGTTGTAAAATATTGGTACATAGCCGCTGGCATTGTTGTAAGCATAAAGAAAAATCAGTATATGTTATGTGTCCCATTTGTTTAGGAGAAAATGTGATGCTTCGCTCTTTCTGTGGTTCCAGATTGGTGCTCCCATCTCCAGCTCCTACCTATAATTTAAATAGTCCTGTGAAGTTTTTTTTTTTAAATAAAAATGATAAAATGAGGCCGAGTATATCTTAGTGGAAGGGCTCTTGCCTAGACAGGCAGAGATACTGGCTTAAATTTTCAGCACGTGGGTGGTGGCAAGCAGACAGTAAACTAAGACGATAGGTGTGGGGTCCTGATGCTGCGTGTTCTGATCCCTGCCTGGTTTGTGCCTGTTGTGTTCTGGTCCAGTGTTCTATCACGCTCATTCTAGACTCAATAGGTTTGTCCAGTTAAAGGTTTCCCATCAAAGATCTACACTCTGATCATTCTTTGTCTCTAAATCCAGATTCTTCGTTTCTTTCTCCCTTCCTTCCTCCCTTCCACTTCTTTTTCACCCCCTTTCTCCATCTGTCCCCTCTTTCCTTCCCTCCTTCTTTCCCTTTTCCTTGATTTCTTTCTTTCTTTCTTTCTTTCTTTCTTTTTTTCTTTCTTTCTTTCTTTTCTTTCTTCCTTCCTTCCTTCCTTCCTTCCTTCCTTCCTTTCTTTTTTTCTTTCTTTCTTTCTTTCTTTCTTTCTTTTTTCTTTCTTTCTTTCCTCTTCATTCTTCCTTTTTCCGCTTCCCTCACTCACACCGTACACCCACACTTCCCCTCTTTCTCTCTTTCCTTCCCCTCCTGTCTCCCTTTCCCCTTTCTGCATTTCTCATCCACTTCCCTTTGCCCCTCGTGACCTGGTGCAGAAGACTGATTTCCTCACCAAGGCACACACACCTGAGTCTGTCAGGCTCATGGTTATTCTAAAGAATATTTCTATTGAATTATTAATTTTAATTTTATGAATTTTATTCTATTAAAAGATGAGTACTTACCAGGAAAGAAAATCACAAAAATAAAGTAGAGAGTTTTTAATATTTATCAAGTGTATAAAACTGTAATAAAATTTTCAATATCAACTGAAAAGAACATCAGAAATAAATCCTATGTGAATTATAGTTAAAATACAAATAGCACTCTACAAAAACAGAATACTTCAGTTATCACACCTAAAGCAGTCTGCACACGTGACAACAATACGTTCCATACACGTGCATTACTTACATGACAGCACGTGTCTTTTGCTTTTTTTGGCCTTTTTGTGGAACATTTAATGCCTCGGCAGTCTTGCTGTTTTGTCAGGAGGTTCTTACTATACATACAGTGTGTAATTAATAGGAACATAAAATACATTATTCTTAATATGACTTGTACATTTCGAGTAGACATCAACATTTCACGTCAGCTGTGTACTTATTTACAAAACATAAAAGATAACATCTGAAATGACTTCTTGTATGAGCTACAATGAAAATATCAATAAAACTCTACCACAAAATAAGCTTTGCTTCAACTGTTGCACAACCGAGCTTCTTGTATCTCTCAGAGAAAGGTGCTGAGACATACAACCAGGTACACACTTCTGAAGTACAGATTTGCAGTAGGGAACTGACAGATGATTCACTGAACCAGGTTTAAACACTTGGAAACTGTCTGTGTCTACTTGAGTTACAAAAGGCCAGGCG